TGCTTTATTCACCTTATGGAGTTTTTTTATAAACTGCTCATCAATGGCTTTGAAGGGGCACAAGTTGAAGAGGTAGTTTCTTGACAATGGTGAGAGTACCAGCTTCTTCCATATCAATGTCTCCAACTTCCATCCCATCAGGCAATCTCCAATCGAAAAAATAAAGCAAATTCATCAGTCCAAGCTCCACGGTAGCAATCCCCATTTGCATCGCCGGACACATCCTTCGACCAGAACCAAACGGTAAGAGCTCAAAGTGTTGTCCTCTAAAATCAACAGAAGTATTTGCAAACCGTTCAGGAATGAAATCTTCAGGGTTGGTCCAGCGGTTAGGGTCACGTCCGATCGTCCACACGTTAACTTGGATTTGCGTTTTCGGTGGAATATCGTAGCCTTGGATCTTGATGTGAGACATTGTTTCTCTTGGGAGCAATAATGGAACCGGTGGGTGTAATCTGAATGTTTCCTTGATTATAAGCTTCACATAATCAACTTTTCCTAGGTCTTCTTCAGTGATTGTCTCCCTTTTGAGCCCGAGGGTGGCTCTTATGTTTTCTTGAGCTTTCTTCATCACATTTGGGTTCCTTACGAGCTCGGTCATTGCCAATCTTAGTTATGGCCCCTGTATCTATCCCCGCCAGAAATATATCCTGAAAACATTACATATTAAAAAAAAATATAAAGTCTGAACTAAATTACTTGTTTTGTAGTTTTACATGAGATATATATATATCAACACCAAGATTTGTGGATTTACCATGAGCATTGCCTTGAGATTATCCATATTGAGTTTGAAAGAGTCTGCATTTCCATGTTTATCGATCATATCCAACATCAAGGAAACAATATCCGGATTTTTCCTTCCTTCTTTCTTCAAGTGATCATCAATCACATGCTGGTAAAAAGGATCAAGCTCTTCAAAGACTTTGTTAATCTTCTCGTCTCGTTGAAACAACCAATCTACGAATCTTCCAAGTCCACCAGGGAAGAAGTCAGAGAATGTGAAAGTCCCTAGAGCTTCCACTGATTCGCTAACAAGTTCTTCGATCCTTTCTTGATCGATAATGAAGCCGCTCTCGTGGAAGTTCTGTCCTAAAGCTACTCTACAGATGATGCTTGCGGTGAGGGAGAAAAATGTTTTGCTTAAATCCACAGGAGATTGTGTCAAAGCCGAAGCCGAAAGTTTCTTCACCATGAGTGCAATCTCTTCTTCTCTTATATACCTAAAAGATTGAACCTTTCTAAGACTAAAAAGCTCGATGACCACGAGTTTTCGCATTTCTCTCCAGTAAGCACCGTATGGCGTGAAAGAGATGTCTTTGAAACCGTAAGATAGTTTGCCCGTCCCGACCGTCTTTGGTCGGCTGCAACACTCCAAATCATGAGTTTTGAGCACTGCTTCAGCTGCTTCGCTCGATGAGATCACCACCACTGGAACAAACCCGAGACGGACAAGTATCACTGGTCCGTATTTGATTGAGAGCTTGTGAAAACATCTGTGAGTCAATCCTGCAAGATGATGCAAGTTTCCAATGATCGGAAGACTTGAAGGGCTTGGAGGAAGATTGAGTTTTGAGAGTTTTATCTTTTTAAGAAAGATTGATGATACGAGAGTAAGAAGCGAAACCAAGAAGAAACAGAGCAAGATTGCCATTTTTTTTTTTTTCACTTCCTCTGTTTTTTTATTCTCTGTTTCTTGAAGAGATGAATTTAGCATTCGAAGAGTATTGTCAATAAGATGAGCGAAAGGACATTATGAGGGCATGTGGTTTTATGTTGAAACAGAAGTTACTAGATTTGTGATGATTATCTTCCTTTATCAGGTCTTGTGGACCAAACATAACCTATCTTCTTTTGGAATTATCAGTTATCAATTATCTTCATATCTTCAACCTTTTTTTTATAAAAAAAAAATCAACTTTTGGTTGGCTAATATACATACATAACAACTTTACTAACCCAACTGTGCAAAACAATCACAGATTCCTAACTTCATGGTTGTGTAACAATCACAAATTCCTAATTTCATGGTTGTGTAACAATCACAGATCCCTAATTTTCATGGTTGAAACACAGGGTGAAAAGCTAAAAAGAGCTAATTGAACAAAGTAAAGGAGAATATGTATTCGCAGAAAATGGGAGCAGAATCTTATTTTCAGTATTCACTTAAAGCCAAACAGAATAAAGAGTGAATGAATTGAAAGTAAAGAAGTGTCTCCTTATTCAGTGGCTGCTTCCTCCATGACTTGCTCAGCAGTGGCTGGTGCGACAGGGTAGTAGTGATAGTGTAGCTCCCCAACATCATCTCCTGACAGCTTCTTCCATCCATTAGGACCGACATGGTACACTGATCATACGAGAAGAGACAAATCTTATTATATGAGCTAAATTCAGAACCTTGAAAGTTTGGTATCACATTTAAGACTACAAATCAATTTGGGCTACTTACCGCTAGCAACTCCACCACTGGCTCCATCACGGAATGTCGCATGGTAGATTGATCTCCTCGCTAACTCAGAAGCTTCTTCAACTGACATATCGTATTTGTACCTATTCATAGAAGCAAGATTAGATGATGGTTCTAGCCATTTGGGATTGGGAAAAAAGAGATGAACATGTTTTTTGAGGCAATGATTTACCCGCTGTCTAGTACACCATAAGCGTATGGTGAACCAGAACCAACTGAAAACCTGTCTCCCTTGAGCCTCCCTCCTTCGTTGTCAACATAGTATAGTCCAGGACCCTACACCCAAGAAGGATTTAGAATCTCAAGGTTTTTATTTTGGTGAGAAAAAAAGAGTGAGTATTGAAGATATGGTTTCACTGACAGTTTCGTCCCATCCAGCAATCATCGTGCCGACGGAAAGTCCCATTCCACGGTATGAATAAAGCATGTTTGCGAGAAGCTTTGAAGCTCCAGAAACAGAGATTCTCCTCTTGTTTGCCAGCTCATGTAGACGGCACTTGGACAGACAAATGAATCAAGAGATCAGCCATATTTTCATCAATGCAAATTCGGTAGTAAGTTGAAGAAAATCAATATACACAACAATATTAAGATTAACATTACTAAGCTCTATAGTTCACTTCGCATCCACCAATTCTTGTCCCACGCTTTTACATTATTAAGCGTTATAGTTCTTCAATTTAAGTTATTTTGTTATTCAGTATTCTAGTACAACAAGGCAACTGAGGTATATTGCTACAGAAATGTTTGGTTCACAGAACAAGGATGCTAAAGAAACTATCTATGCAGCAGAATATGCGCAAGTACACAACAAAAACCATTCTAGTTCTTCAATACAGCCAGAACATAAGTATTAAATCCTTGGACAAGGCAGATGAATCTTGCTTTTAACCACGCAACAAGATTTCCAATAGCCACAGAGATGAAGATAAGTCACAGCTCTAAGCATCAATTTAGACGGAAAAAAAATGATCTAGGTACCTTAATTCCAAGATTTCTGTGCCAGAATTGGCAGTCAGCAGCTCCTCCAGCCATTGTACCAAGCATGTACGGATTGATTTCAATAATCTTCTTCACAGATTGTGAGGCTGAATGAGGAAAATCGATATAAAAACATCAGCAGAAATCACACAAAAGGTTCCCTTCCTTTACTGGTTCACAATCATTGGCCAACAACAGAATGGTAACTATGAGTTTTTCTAACAATCCAGCACAAAAACTAAACCAACACCAAGCTAGCTTAATCTCTATCGTACTTATGATTATGCTACAGTCAACTATATCCAAAGGATACATATTTTTGAGTTCCGCAGAGATTTCACAGCTCACTACCATCACGTTTTACACTAAAGCAAAAAAAAAAAAAAAACTGTAAGTAAAACGAGGAAAGAGAACATACAGATATATCCTCCCATGCTAGCTCGAGAATCAGCAGCGACCATGACACCACCTTTGAAGATAAAAGCGAGTGTGGTTGTTCCTTTCGCAGGCTTTACCATCTGTACAGCTTCTTTCTGGAATCCATCAAACTGAAACCCACACACAAAAAAAAAAGTTCGCAATCAATTGACAGCAACATGGAAAACCCATCAAAGCACGAAAAAGAAAAAATTGACACTCACATCTGTTGTGCGGGGTAGATCAAACGAGGGCACAGAAGAAAACCCATCAAGCATATCGTTGCTCGAGCCAAAGCCAATCAGAGGCATGGAGGTCTCGAACCCACTAGTATCAAGCTTCATTTTTTAAATCCCTACAGAATGAAGCTGTGTTATTAAAATTAAAGCTAATCTAGCATAAGATAAACAGAAATAAGATGTCAATCAAGGAACTTTTTTCTCAAAAATATAAAATCAGATCTAGCACGAGATACATGCGCGTCTGTATGAACCCTAAACTTTCGTATACATTTACAAGCAAGTCAACGAAACTAGAGCTCGATTAAGGATGGACGAGTACCTTACTGAAGAAAAGTAATCAAATAGAGCTAAAGGTTAATAAGAAGAAGAAGAAGAAGAGGTAGCTCAAGTGACAAACGAAGACGAGAACGAATGAATAGATCGTTTCTTTTCTTGAGCTCCGGGCAAACCACAGGGGAGCAATATATGGGCCAAGATGGGCCATCGTAATGGGTTGCTACTTAACTGGGCCGATCACGTTTCCTTTAAAAATTTACGATCATTTATATACAAATAGACAAATGTTAATTTGGATAAACAGAACTATCTTGCAATAAGTTTTCAAGAAAAGATGTTTGAAATATGATTTCTCAATTAAACATGACTTTGGAGATAGATCCTTTTCTTCTCGTGTAACATGTATAAAGTTGAAGACTTTATTCGAACATGTATCACTTTTACAAAAAAAAAAAGTAATACACAACTCACAAGGGTGGGTTTATTGAGTTAAAATAAGCAAAAGTAAGCTCGCTGCATTGTTTATAAAAATGAGTGATTATATATCTCTATGTATACATAAATATACATGTACCTTTTTTACTTCTAGAAATATTATCAAATTAAGTACAATGTTGGATCAATCCTATTATTCAGAATACAAAATCAGATGCACTTTCCATTTGCCATCCTGTCTATTTCTAAAAGTAGCAGAAAACATGAAAACATACAAAACAGTACAAATCTATCAATTTCCCAGTATGAACAGAATCATCAAATGCATCAACAAAAGTAGTAATATACTCAGTCGCAGAAAGCGGCAGGCAAATCGCTAGCGTTTCGTAATGCATCTTCTTGCTCGCATGGACCCTGAAGGAGGGCTATTCAACGAGATGCTGCAACGTGTATGCAACCAATAAGAGTATCTCAGTAACGACCCAAGGTTCGAGCGAGCGTGAAATGTTCCTCTCAGATCCAACAACACAGGGCCGGCTCCAAGCTGAAGCTGCAACTCCTGGCTCTGAATCATATGAATCGGTACCTGACTGCTCACTAGATGGAAGCTCGTGAACATCGACATTCCTTTTGGAACAATGAATGGCTCGATGTGCTCGGTTGCTATGAGTATGTCGTAGAAGTAGAGCTCGAACATTACGTAGCTGAAGTCGACACTGCTTTTCTTGCTTGGGTTAGTGAAGTTTACCACTACGGCGAGATCTCCATTTAGAACGTAACCCATTCCAAGATTTGCGGTGTTTAGGTTTGCTGCTGCGATGTCAAAGTATGGTAAGCGAGGACGGTTGCTGAGGTAGACGATGAGGAGGACGAGGCCGGAGAGAATCACGATGATCAAGAGAATTGCACAGCAGACTGTAGCCGGCAATTTCATGGGTTTGGTCCTCTTTGGACCTGGTTGATGCGCTGATCGTGTTGGAGCCGTCCTCCATGGAGTTGGTTCAGGTCCATAGCCACCATGGTGTGGAGGTCGTTGTTGATCTTCAGGGCTCAATATCAATGGCCTGGAAGAGTTTGGATTATGGCGTGGTGTTAACGGTTCTTCTGGCCTCAGTGGCAAGGGTCTTGAGGAAGGCGGTTCATGGATTGGTTCAGGTGGCTCAGTCTGGTGACGTCCTCGAGTCTTTATTTTGGGCCCGGGAGGAGCAACTGGGTGAGTCTGTGGGGTCTGGTGGTGGTGCGGAGAGGTCCATGAGGTAGAGGTGCCACCGGGATATCGATCCTGCAAGGAAAACTGAACGAAATGTGGGTTGGTTTCATAGTGGTGATGAGACATGAGAGCATCAATTAAATGAGAAAAGAGTATTGCGTGATAGCAAGAAATGAGAAATTTTGAGTGTTTCTAAATGAGAGAGAGAGAGAGTGATGATAACTTGATAAGAAGTTCAAGTAGGATTCTTGGGTTAAAGGAAACTGACACAAGGAAGCAAGTAATCTTTTTTACATATTTTTCGCTCTAATAAAACTCAAGCAACCGAAAAACTATAAACATCATCTCTTTTTTCTCGTCTATATTTTTTATTTTTTTTGGAAAAAGAAATGTCATTACAAAGTCCGACTCACTTTTCAGTTGTTACAGTAGCACGCCATTCTGTTTTTAGAATGTTTACGTATTCTTCCTCTTCCTGTTCTGCGCTTATAACAGGCTTAGTTCTGCATCAGTACACATGATAAATCATAGTAAATGATATGACTGAAGCATAGAGATCAGCGTACGAAAACATGAAGAATCATGATAAAAATAGAAAAGATTTGACCCACTTTGAAATAAAGTCCAGATATAGGCTGACCTAATCTTTTGGCTTTCAGCCTTTAAGATGCAGCTTCTCAAGGTAGAATAGATCCTTCAAGAGTATTAATCTCTAACGCTAGAGCTGGCTGGCTTGTTCCATAGTCTGACCACAAATGATGATCCTTCAGGAGTATTAATGTCAAGTCAGCTGCAACAAAAGGTACAGATTTAGTTGGTCAAAGCAAACTCAACCATGGATTCACTTATGTAGAAACGGAATAGCTTAAACCTGATAAGTTTCGTACTTCTCTCCAAGCAGCAGGAGGCATAATGGCTCTGTATCAGCATCTCCATGCCGCCATACTTTTGACTAAGATGGCGTTTTTGCACAGGAGAAGACCATGTTGACAATTTTCAAGGTGTATACACTTATTATGCCTACGCATCAGCACTCAGTGAACAGCTAGCCTTGATTAGTGTATCAGACACATCCCTATCAAGGGTGAATCCTTTATCCATCATCTGATCCCAAACCTTGTAGGCTGCTGATAGTTTCTTTTCCCGTATGAGTCCTCCAATAATGAACTTGAAAGTTAACTCATCAGGACAACATTCTTTACTCTGCATGTCCTTAAATAATTTCATTGCTTCAGTTACTCTACAAGACCTGCAGAGGCCACTAATAAGAGCGTTGTATGAAATCGCATCTGGTGTAATTCCGTGCTCAATCATGTCATTGAATACACCATAAGCCTTGTCGACATTTCCAGATTTACACAAATGGTCCAGAATTGTTGTGTAAAATATGCGATCTGGTGACAGACCTAACTCTGTCATCTGATCGAGGAGCTTCTTTGCAACACTAGAGTTACCTTCCCTAAGAAAAGCCTTGATAAGACTCGTGTACGTGACCACATTCGTTACTATCCCCTTCTGTCTCATTTCCTCAAAGAGCTTGTAAGCTTTTCTAGTATTTGACGCCCTACAAAATGTTTCGATCAGAGTACTGTAGGAGACAACATCGCAGAAACCTCTAGGCTCCATCTCCTTTACCATTAAGGAATAGCATTTATCAGGAACACCAACCCTGCAATGCCGCTTAAGCAACTGGTTATAACTATAAGCATCAGGCTGTATCCCGCTTCTCACCATCTCGCTCATCACCCCTTCCGCTTTCTTCAACATATTGTGATCATAATAATAATTCAACAACACATTGTATGTAACAAGATCCGGACTACACCCACTCTTACTCATAAATGATTTTAAAGCTTCTGCCTTTTCTATTCTACCAGCTCTACAAAACCCGCTAATCAATGCATTATAAACCACTGTACTAAGCTTAACTCTTGCACTCTTAATCTCTTCCGCCACCATCTCATAAGCCAAATCAACTTTCCGAGCATCACATAACCCAACAACAAGTGATGCACATGCTTTATTATCCGGATTAATCCCGCTACGTATCATTTCATTCCAAAACTCGACAGCGTCAGTGACCTTACCAGCTCTAAATAACCCATTAATAAGTATAGTATAAGATACAACATCTGGTTCCCGACCTCTCCGAACCATACAAAAGAACGTTTGAACAGCAAAACCTACCTCTCTCTCTCGACACAACAGATCCAGATAAATGTTGAACGCCCAGATATCCGGTATGTAACCGAGGGTTTCCATGTCCCTCAGAAGAGCGTCAATGAGATCAAATTTTCTAACTTTACATAAACCCGAGATAAACCTCGAGTAAGTGAAGGGGATGAGGGAGAAACCCATTGGCGTCATATCCCGATATAGTGCCTCAGCAAGCTCAAATCTCGACTCTTTGACCAAAACCCCGATGAAGCGGTTGTAATCGGAGGAGAAGACGCGGAAGCTTGAGTGGCGCAATTCATCGAACACCTGAACAGCGTTGTCGATCATACCTGATTTCACGAGGTAAGCGATACGCGAGCGGTATGCAAGGCGTACTGCGCCCAGCGTCTGATGCATATCAGAGCTCGACGCATATGATCATATCAGGTTGCACTTATTGTTTCAACGCGGCGACATCAGATCGACGACGACGGCTGGTGTTGTTGAGCTTAAGCGAGAGGGAAAAACGGGAAGACGATGGCTCCAACTCAGCCTCAGGCTTTACTTTAAAGTGGGCTTCAGATAAGGCCCATTGTAACCCAATAACCAAGCTTTGACTGAAACCTCTCTGTGAGATAGAGTGTTAGATTTGGCTTAGTATCCTCTCTCTTTCTCTCCTCCTTCTCCGTCTTGGAACCCAGGCAGGGTTTAAGCAGGATTCCGAAAGCTAAACTCAAAACTTTATTCTCATTTCTTCTTCTGTATCATCCTCTTCCTCTCTGAAACTCGTCCACGATGGCGGAAGAGAAAGTGAGGATTCGTGTTGTGTTTGAGGATCAACGGATTCTGAGTAAGTACCAGAAGAAGCAAGGTCTCAAGCGGAGCTGGGTTGTTCTGAATCCTAAATGCTATCGAACTGTTGCAGACTTTACTAATCATCTACTTTCCACATTCAGCCTCTATCAAGCTTGCCCTCATGGCCTCTCTCTATCTGTACGCCTACTTCTTTTTTGCCCTAATCTCAATGTTGACACCATTAATGGTTACATTCACTTTTCTCGGGTGTTTCTGTGTTTAGGATTTAAACTTATGGGAAGTTAATCTTTGATTTCAGATGGACGGGTTCGTTTTACCACCATTTGAGTCGAGCTGTCTATTGAAGGATAAAGATATCGTTTGGTTAGCTTCATCAACTGCTTCTTCATCTTCTTTCACATTATGTCTTGTAAAGCATTTGCATTTGGGTTCTATTAAGTATTATTGTTAAAAAAAATCGTTTTTTTCGTAGTGTTAAGAAAAAGAAGGAGCCTTTGTTGGAGATTGTTGAGGAAGACAGTGAGGAAAATGTTTGTGCTGCGATTGAGGCTGAGGAGGGAGCTTGGAATCTTCCCGGTGAAATGCTTCTTGCTAATGAGGAATTCCAGAAGGAAACTGGGGGATATGAAAGTGAGTCTGAGGAAGAGGAGCTTGAAGAGAAAGTCGAAGAGATTGTGCCGGAGAAAAAGACTTCAAAGAAACGTAAAGCTTCGAGCAAAAGCCTAAGCTCCAAGTAGGATCTCTACCTGAAGGATTTTTACTCACTTATATCTGTATCCGTGGTTATTCACGTTTGGTGATGATGCAGGAGGAAGAAGTGTAAGTTAGCTACTACTGAAGAAAGCCCCATTGAAAGAAAAAAGGGAGCTAATGTTGTAAAGAAGAGGAAATCATTGGATGCACAGAGAACTGAAAATGATGAACAGGATGATGCTAATGCCAAGCCTATGACCAACTCAAAGAGGTGGGTGTATGTTTTCTGTGTCAAAACTCCCTAACAACTCAAAGAGGTGGGTGTATGTTTTCACCATTGTTTTACTTTCGAGTTGCAGGTCCTCGCAACAAGAAGAGAGCAAAGAGCCTAACGAATTGTGCGACATGTCTGCTGAAACTAAAAAGGTTCGAGTTTTACCTTCATTATCTCAAGGAACAATGTGTATATGCCGAATTAGCATTGGTAAATTCCCTGATGTATATGCAGGGATTTGCTTGTTGTTTCATATGCTCCATTAACTTCTTATCTGAGCTTTCTTTGCAACATGGAATGTGAAGCTAACTCTTCCTTATATTTATTTTAGACACCTAGCAGAAGTGCTCGGCGTAAAAAAGCTAAACGGCAATGGTTGAGAGAAAGGACAAAACTAGAGAAGGAAGAGGTTCTTCTTCAACTACTTCAAAACTTAAAATGATAAGGCTTATGTAGCTATCACGTGTTTTAGTGATGTACAGCTTGCACTTCAACACTGATATCTTCTTTCTTGTTACATGATTTGCAGCTTCTACAGAAGCAGTTGGCTGTAGCACCCAGCCAAAAACCAGCCATCACTATAGATCACCAAGTAACCCAGGAAAATCACTGTGAAGCTCTTGAAAATCAACAGCCAGATGAACATGGTGATGGTGTCGGGGATGAAGTGGTTCCTGTGGAAGTGAGGCCAGGCCATATTCGCTTCAAGCCGCTCGGTAAATTACTACGAAAATTTCTCTCTGCATAGCTTTTGTGTGTTTGTAAGGCTCCTCATAATTTCTCTAAAATGCTTCATTTACAGCTGAAACAGATCAAGCTTCCCCTGAAACTGAACCTCCTGCGGTACGACTTACTCCTTTCTTTGTATCCCTAGAGCTTATCCCGATGTGAATCTGTAACTGTAATGATCACGATATCATGATGTTAGGAAAATTTCTTGTGGAATGGAAACATGACGAAGAAGAAAGGCCAAAAATGGGGCACAGAGAAGACAGGATTTTCCAAACGATATGCCCAGGATTTGAATGAAGGATATGCTCAGGACTTGAATGAAGATACTTATCAGACACAGTCCCCTGAAGCTGAGACACTTGCTAAGGGTCAGATTGACTATGAAAAGCTTGTGGCTTACTCTGGAGCAGCAAAGGTTTGCTTATAGTATTTACTACACGCAGTTGTTTATAGATTCAGCAATTTTAAACTCCTCACTCCTGATTTATTAATGTTTCAGAAAGGAGATATTATTGCGTACCGCCTCATTGAGCTAACATCATCTTGGACACCGGAAGTTTCCTCCTTTCGAGTAATATTTCTGACTTTCCTTTTTAGCCAATCGATCAATCAACTCTTTTCTTTGAGGAACCTAAGCCCTTTACAATCAATTTCTCCTGGTAGGTTGGAAAGATAAGCTACTATGATCCAGACTCCAAGAAGGTGACTTTGATGCCTGTTCAAGAATATCCAATCGAAAAGAAGATGGAAGAGGACGACGATTCCTCAATGCAACCTGATACGTCTCTTTATAAAGAAGACGGAACCTTGGAGGTATGCTTCATGGTCACACTTATGTCACTGTAGTCTAAAGAAACTAGAACACAGATCTGATTCTTGTAGTTATTTGCTTGCTAAGCATCGCAATTCTGAATAAGAAAGTTTTGCTTTGACAGATAGAATTCTCTTCTCTGCTCGATGTCCGCTGCATCAAAACTAGCAACTCAGATGCCACAGAAATAGTCAAGTCAGCACCGCCCAAACCTGACCAAACAGCTATAACTCAAAAGCTGAGCACAAGCAACGGTTTGCAAACCCCTGTAAAAGGTACTATTCCAACAATCTTGGCGCGAATTTGGATTGTCATGGAAACTTATTGTACCCATGAAAATTGCAGAAAATGGAAAAGTGAATCCGTGGGAAGAACTAAGTGAAGCTTTAAGTGCCAAAAAAGCAGAGTTATCTCAGACCAACAATGGCTGGAACAAGAAAGGGAGTTCGAGTGGAGGCTCATGGTCTTACAAGGCACTGCGAGGCAGCGCAATGGGTCCGGTAATGAATTATCTGAGATCTCAGAAAGAGATCTGAGAAAGTAGGACTCCATCTTTAATTATTTTGTTTTTATGTTGTAAAGGCATTGTTGAGTTTTTGCTAGGGTGAAGGTCTGTATAGAGAAAAACGATGAATGTGTACTACTCCAAGACCTTTTTGAAACTTTAAGTTGAATCCAATCAAAAATCTGAAATTGAAATGTGTTGGATTTTCATTATAACCACTTATTATTTCCATGCTGCTTCTGATATAAAACTCAAAAAAGTCTGCAATGAACAAAAATGAGAAAATCCGTTAAAGATTACAGAAAAAAAAATGTTTGCAAGTAAGTTCCAATCATATCAAAATTAAAAATAAGATACTTTTTGTGTAAAATGTTATAAAAAAAAGGATAAGATATTTGATCATACAAACGGTTTAAATCATAGTAATTAATAGTGATAAATATAGAAGAGATGGTTTACGTATTTCACATCGAAAATGCAATTATTTTTACTTTTGTGAACAGAATGCTTTTCTATGGATTTTTTTATTTCAATTAAAGATACTAATTTGGATATAATGTGTTTTAATTTGTTTTGAGGTTGACAAAAAAATATTGTAAATAAATGTATAAGTTATCAGGTTTATTACAACGTGGAATCATAAAAGCACCTAAAAAATGTCACCATAACCTAAAGTTGGTGGGAAAAAAGATTAGTTTTTATAAAAAACAATGACTCATGACCGTTCGTTTCCTCTTCAAGTCAACCGTCACTTGCTTACACGTCGCGTGAACCACAACGTTCAGGCCATTACCTTTCTCGTTACTGATTGGTTCGTGAGCTACACATTCTTATCTGGCGCGTCCGCTATCTATTTCTCCGTCCATTGCCTCTCCGTTGCGAAACTTACAAACAGCTTCAAAAGGAATAAAATTCCCAAATTTTTTATTTGATGTTTCATCTTTTAGGCGAAAGTAGCGACAACGAGAGAATCTGAGATTGATTCGCTTTCCCGGCAGTAATTTCCTCTCGATTTCTCACTCGGAGCTCCGGATTACTCTGATCGGTGTCTTAGATTCCTCACTCTCCGTTTGTGTTCTTCTCCGCTTTTTAGATCTGGGAAATCTCCGATTTTGGAATTGAATTCACAGATGTCGAAACCTTGGGGTGGAATCGGCGCTTGGGCCGATGAGGCGGAGCGTGCTGATGAAGAGCAGGCTGCTGAAGCTACAGCCACGGCGGCGGATACGCAGAGCTTTCCGAGTCTGAAGGAAGCTGCGACTACGAAGTCTAAGAAGAAGAAGAAGATGACTTTGTCGGAGTTCACCAAGGGAGCTTACGCTGCACCAGGTTCTGGTGGCTCTGTTGGATTGACGAGGGAACAAATGCTTCAGCTTCCTACTGGTCCAAGACAACGCTCTGAGGACGAAATGCAACCTGGCCGTCTCGGCGGCGGATTCTCTTCTTATGGAGGAAGGTCTAGTGGGCCTCCTGGACGAATGTCGAGAGATCGAGATGCTTCTGATGGGTCATGGGGCGGTGGTGGAGGTGGTGGTGGTAGGAGAGGTTATGGCGGATTCGACGATGATCAGAGGGGTTCTTCTAGGGTTTCAGATTTCCCACAACCGTCTAGAGCTGACGAGGTTGATGATTGGGGAAAAGAAAAGAAATCGCTTCCATCGTTCGATCAAGGACGTCAAGGTCGTTACGGAGGGCTCGGAGGCGGTGGCGGTGGCAGTTTTGGCGGCGGAGGTGGTGGAAGCTATGGCGGTGGAGGTGGCATCTCTAAATCCGACGGTGTTGATAATTGGGGAGCAGGTAAAAGCCAGTCGTCTCTTGCAAAATCATCTACATTTGGGTCCGGTTACCGTGACTCCGAGCCAGAGCCTGACCGGTGGGCAAGAGGAGTCTCTTCCGGTGGTGTTCAGGAGGAGCGTCGTCGTCTTGTTTTGGAACCACGAAAGGTTGTTGATACAGGAGTGAGTGAAACTCCTACTGATGTGAAAACGAGTAAGCCGAGTCCATTTGGAGCAGCTAGACCGAGAGAGCAAGTTTTGGCGGAGAAAGGATTGGACTGGAAGAAACTTGATTCGGAGATTGAGGCTAAGAAGGGAAGCTCACAAACGAGCATACCATCGAGCGCACAATCTAGCAGGCCATCAAGTGCTCAATCTAATAGGTCTGAGAGTTTAGCATTGAACAATGTGGAGAATGTGGTGAAACCTAGACCAAAGGTGAATCCTTTTGGCGATGCAAAACCTAGGGAAGTGTTGCTGGAGGAACAAGGCAAAGATTGGCGCAAGATGGATTCTGAATTCGAGCATCGCAGGGTTGACAGGTCCTTATTCATCTGGATTCTTATTATTTTCTCTGAGGAATGTGGATTTGCTTCAATTCTATGTTTTCGCGGTGGTTTGAATGTTATTAGATTCTTAAATATTCCGTTTTTCTGCATACTGAACCTTAATTAGGATTTTGAAGTGATATTCATTGGTGAACCAATATAAGAAAGGAAAATGTATTAAAACTTATAGCTTTAGATAGTTTTGCTACTTCTACTTCGTGTTTCAAATTCAAAATGGAAAGTAATTAAATGACTTATCTACTTAAGTTATAATTCGTGGTTTCCTTTTGTTGACATGTTGAATGTATGTCCTTTTAAGTATGACTTAGGCACAAGATAGACTCTTATCTAAAAGTTTGTTTCGTTACCTTGTCACAAACTTTGGCACATTATGCGAAGTACCGTATATGTGCAGTGACCATTCCATTTCTTCGGCAAATTCATCCATGTTTGTTCTCTCAGCTGAGCTCTTGTTGTACGGTGTTTGTTCCTGTGTCTTTTTATACGGCTTCTCTCTGGATGTTTATAGGATTACATAGCCAATTTGTAAGATAACTTTTGCTTATTTCTTTCTCACATTTCATATCTAAGCTATAGTCCGTTTGTTAATGCATTGCTCTAACACTCGATTTAGTTTTGTGTCTACTTTAGTTGATTGTATAGGAAGAATTTATCTGTGATAATGTTGATGATGACTGTCCAATTTGCAAATGATCTCACTTCTCACCTCTGTCTCGTGAAACAATTTTGTCCCAGGCCTGAAACAGAAGGAGAGAGAATTTTGAAGGAAGAGATTGAAGAATTACGGAAAAAACTCGAGAAGGAAGCAGCCATCGCACCTGAGAACGGGGAATCTCAACAAGAATCCGACAGTAATAACCATAACCTACCGGATCTTATACGCGAGAAAGAAAAAGACCTGGACTTACTAACCCGTGAGTTGGACGACAAGATCAGGTTCAGACCAAAAGCAGTTGAAAGGCCTGGATCCAGTGCAGGCAGGACCGGTAACTATTCTGAAAGACCTCATTCCCGGGCGGGATCAATTGACGAGTCTAGGAGTGTTGAATACATGGAAAGACCTAGATCACGTGGCACAGGTGATCCTTGGTCAAGACCAGTAGATGATCGAAGAAGCTTCCAAGGAAGCAAGGAACGTGGATTCTTCAGCAACAGGAACTTCGATAGGTTAGTCTTTAACATCTGATTCAATCCCATGATCTTGATGAAAGTCTAGAGAGTAGAAAGTTAGAAATGATGCTGACTTTAGTGTAAAGATCCAGACTTGAGTTGTTTCTAATGATGTATGCATCTGCGTATCATGATCGTTATTATATATTTCGATGCGATTAAACTGACATTTCGGTTTCATAGGTCATCATCATCGTCGAAGGATGGGTGGTAAAAGAAGGAAACCAAGAATGAATGTGGAATGAGATTGGAGTTTGGTTGACGCACCATTCCCAGATTTTGAAGAAGAAAGATAAGAGAAGCTTCAATAATATATTAATAAAGGAAAAATTCATCTCCTTTGAAGAACCTAATTTTGGAGGATTTTTGTTTTTGTTTTTATTGGTTCATCTTCGGAAATCGAAGCCTAATGGTTTCTTCTTCTTTTTTTGTTTTTGTATTTGTTCGGTCTTTTGCTCTTGAAACGGCAGAGCCCAAGACTTGTGACAGTTGATGTGTCTTCAGAATTCTGGAGACAGACTCTGTTCTGTTCTTCTTCTCCGTTTGAATTTTATTTACCACTACTGCTTCAATTGTTTGATTCTTCATCCAAATTTTTGTACTTCTTTTTTTGTTATCAGCAATTTATTTGCTTTTAATTTAGGATTTCAAGTGCGTCAGCTGAAATCGCAAAATAGTGATTCAAGTTTGTACCTTTCATTTTTTGGTGGAATTGGGATATAACATTTTTGGATTCGTTGCGCATAGAAAGAACACTTGAAACCTAAAGACATTGCTGTATTTTCCTACCATGCCTTTAGTTTGGAACCTCCTAAGGAGGAACATTCGTTAATGTAGCCAAAATGTGTTTCTTGAAAAAGCAATAATGTGCCATTCAACGGCGAAATCTTATTTACATATTTGGATCATGAACCCAATAAGCGCAATCTTATTTTGATTCCTTTGGCCCAATAAGTAAGTACTCACCACGTGGAAGATCCACCGACTTCCAGAGAGTCAAGGGGGTACGTATGTGTTCTTCACAAGCCAACTCATAAAAGTCAACTCTTTCTTGACCTGTATTCCCCGTAAGTCGCATCACATATTCACATGGGATCAATTCAGAAACACACTTCGCTGTTCCTTCTCTCTTTTTCAATCCAAAGCTATCTTCTTTTATTAATCCTCTCTTTTTTTTCACTTATTTAATTTTTAATCTCTCCACTCATTAACCCGCCAGGCTAAAAAATTCTCAGTCAAGTTCTTCAGAAATTTTCAAAGACGATTTTTTTTTTTTTTTTTTGAGATTTAATTCGTTTCACTATCCTAGGTCTTATTGATTCTATTGTTTGCAATCAGTTACATCGTTTAACGTTCTCCTACGATCTTGCTCCGTTACTGGAATTTTTTCTCCGACTAAAAATCTTCCGTTGCTTTCTCTTTCGTCTCATTTATTCATCGTCTCGAAAAAGAGTAACGTAGTCTTTGTACTTCTGTTACCCTCCTCTATGCAGAGAGTGGGAGAGAGATCTTTCACCCCTTTTTCTGTCCATATCTGATTCATCGTCTTTAGATTTCTCCTCTTCCTTCAAATAGCTTCAAGTTTCTGATTTTGCTCTCTTGCCAGTAAGTAGCTACGTTTTCTATTAAAGTATGTCTAATTCATGATAACTATATATCCGAATTGGATCTGTTTTTTTGTTCCTATAATTTTGCTATCTTTTGGATCCTGGGTTTTAATCGTTCATTAACAGATTTCAATTTGCTAACACATGCTTGCCTTGCAAAAACAGTCGCACTTACTGTACTAAACTCATGTTGTTTCTTGGGACCTTTAAACTATGTTTGTGTCTAAATCAGGATTCATGTAGTAAATATTACAGAGTTTTCTCAACTTTGCCATTTTGGGGTTATGTGATTATGTCTGCTCTTTTTTAGCTTCATGCTTAATATTACCATCTCACAAGTGTTGTTTTTTTTTATTCCAACTCTTCTGTTTGGTTGACTCTACCCGCTGACTTGTAAATCTCTACCTGTGGACTAGATCTGAATCTAAAGTTCACATTTTTATTCTTGTCTAATCTCATTGTGATGTGATGCAGATAACAAATTTCCGGAGACTGAGGTTTCCATTGAGTGATATTGTTCCTGGTGACCTTAACCGTAATCAGGACATGGCTAACCGAACAGACAACACGAATCGCTGGTTAGATTCACAAAAACTTTTAGCTCATTGCTAGATACTTGTTTTAAGTTGATTACAATATGAATGGATTTGTCTGTTACTTCCTTTATTTTTCAGTTCGAATGGTAAAAAGCTGAATGATGGAATGAAACTCCTTATAGCAACATTCGTAGGAATAATTCTCGGTTTCTTCTTGGGGATATCTTTCCCTACATTGTCACTAACAAAAGTGAGCTAGCCTGCCTATATCTTTAGCTTTGTGTACACTTTTTCTTTCAATACTTTTATGTTTAATGTGTTTCATGTTCCCAACTTGAAACTATTCCAGATGAATTTCCCATCTAGCATTCTTCCTTCTGTTGATATTGCTTACGTAGAAGATGAGACACCGGAAACATCTAGTGAAACGCTTTTGAACACATGGTCATCTAGGAGTCCTTTACATGGGGCTAATTCGAGTGATGCACCGCATTGGAAGGCAAAAACTCTTCTCTTTGCTCTTTTAGTGGTAAATGACAAGATCTTGCAAACTAATATTGATGAGGATTCTGCAGATTTGGGTTCCATCGAATCCCCGAGGTGCAGAGATGTTGACTCCTGGTATCATTGCTGCTGAATCAGATTATTACTTGCGCAGACTTTGGGGATTACCTGAGGAGGTAATATAATGTTTGACCATTTTAGTGTCTCCTCATAGGAATCTTTCTTCTATCGTATAAAGATCTTGTCTTTCCAACAGCATTAAATTGTCTGATCACGGCTTTGTCTTGCTTCTTTAGGATTTGCCTGTGAAGCCAAAGTATCTCATTGCTTTTACTGTCGGTCTTGGTCAGAAAGTAAACGTTGATGCTTGTGTCAAGAAGGTAAAATCTGATGCTGGCACTCCTTTCTTTCTGAAAAATGCTTAAAGAGTCTTTTCTTCTTCTTTTTTTTCTCCGCAGTTTTCAGAAGAAAACTTCAGCATTGTTCTGTTTCATTACGATGGACGAACCACCGAATGGGACGAATATGAATGGTCCAAGCGCGCAATACATGTTAGCGTGCCAAAGCAAACCAAATGGTAATCATAATAAATTCTTTGCTCTAGCTACTCCAAATCTTCCTGAGGCTAGCTTCTTTAACCATTGAATCTCCATGGTTTTGATTTCATCACAAGGTGGTATGCTAAAAGGTTTCTGCATCCTGACATCGTGGCGCCGTATGACTACATATTCATCTGGGATGAAGACCTCGGCCTTGAAAACTTCAGTGTAGAAGAGTGCGTCTTCTTTCAATGTCGAAAGGTTTTTAATGGCCGCACGAATTCTAATCCAGAAAATGTGAATCTGTGCTTCTCTATCTTCTGCAGGTACATCAGGCTTATAAAGAAACACGGTCTAGAGATATCGCAGCCTGCTGTGGAGTCTAAAAAAAAGATCACATGGGAGATAACAAAGAGAAGAACCAAGGGAGAAGTTCACAAGTAAGTAACTTTATAAGTTCCAAAACCTTAGAAACGCGAAAGCTTTTGACTAATCATTTTTTCTGCATAATCTAATGACCAGAGAAGCCAAGGAGAAACCGGGACGATGCAACGACCCTCACTTGCCTCCCTGTGCAGCGTAAGTAATCTCAATGTTCATTTAACTTTGGTCTATACAATACTCTGATTCCATGTGATATATCTACAGGTTTATAGAGATTATGGCTCCAGTATTCTCAAGGGATGCGTGGCGTTGCGTGTGGCATATGCTTCAGAATGATTTGGTTCACGGTTGGGGTCTTGATTTTGCGCTCCGTAAATGTGTCGAGGTTAATCATTTTCCTACACAAGCTCTGTTCTTAAAGCATCAAACATGTGTTTGGTCTCGACATTAGTTACTAAAGTTTCATAACATAAATACAAACAGCCTGCACATGAGAAGATAGGAGTTGTGGATTCTCAATGGATCATTCATCAAACTATTCCTTCTTTAGGCAGCCAGGTTCTTGATAAATACCTTATCAAGGTCAAGTTTCCTCTTTTGTTCATATCTTTGTTAACTTTTCGGTTTTCCCTTTTTTCAGGGAGAGGCACAAGACGGTAAAGCAGGTTGGCAAGGGGTAAGAACTTTGAAAAACCCTAAACCCTTATCCGTTTTTCTCCCATTAACTGCTTCTATTCATAAGTTAGAACATACAGAGAATTTTGTGGTTTCTTGATAACTAAGTGATACGATATATGGTTTTGTTGCAAAGGTGAGAGACAGATGTAAACGGGAATGGACGATGTTCCAAAGCCGAATGGCGAGTTCCGAGAAGAAGTATCTCGAGGAAATCGCAGCCGCGTCTTCAAACTCTACGGTTCATTAGCAGAAGAAACTAAACAAAACAGAGAGACAAGAGAGGGCTGTAATCAAAAAAAAGACTATAGTAAAAGTTCATTAATGTTTTTGACTGTTCATACATGATTAAGCAAAGTCAAACTTGTAATGTTCATATGATGATTAAGCAACTATATACACAGGACACAATTTTTGAAAGAACAATAAGAGATTATTCTTTGTTCTTTTGTATCTTGACTGTTGCTAACTCGTGTCTTCAAAATCAAATCCAATATGCAAAGAGTAGACGACATATTCAACAAACAAGATAACAACCAAATGCTTTTCAGGATACTATAGTCTATAGAACAAGACATCAACAATAAATCACATCACTCACGTAGCCTACCAGGGAAGAAAATGTTTTGTGGCTTTTTGTGTCTTTTTGTTAGAAAAAGTGTAGCACAATTCTTTTTATGTAGTTCACTATGATCTCTGTTAGAGAGACTCTGTACCTTGATCCATGATAGTCCAGAAATTCGATGATTTTTTGAAGAACTAGTAGAGATCAGGCTCACCGCTCACTATCAGCCTCAGAGCCCTAATCTATAGGTTCTGCTTCATCAACATCTTCATCTTCTATATCAGTTTCTTGTCTCTGCTGCTCAGGTATAGGAGATGGTATATCGCTGATGTCACCACGGCAGAAGGGGCAAAGTCTGTTATAGTTCGTAAGCCATTTATTAAGGCATGTGTTGTGGAAGCTTCTTTAGGATGACTCCGTCTTTGTACTCCTCCAAACATATAATATAACACACCTAATTGAAACAATAAAAATTAGTTAAGTTGAAACGAAACAAAATGCGTAGAGAAAGAACCGAAACTTACAAATCATTATTTTTTTTTGGACTTGAGATATAACATCATCGGTAATGAGTGTACTAATTCACTAAGTGCATGACGTGTTGTTTTCTTGGAATCCGATGAGTCTCTCTTGGAGAAGTCAGATCCTATATCATTTTTATCGGATGAGTTAGATGGTGTTGATGACAGTGCAGTGTGAAAATCATTATCATCATCATTCTCATCATCCAATAAGGTTATGAGGTTGATGGTGGTGATGAAAATGTAGGATGAAATTCATCGTTAGTATATAATGTTGATGACTACGATAGGAGAGTGCTTCTCCAATTATTATAATTAATTTAATTTTTTCGTTTTAGTTATTTTTAATTAATATATAATTAACTTTTTTATAAAAAAATTATATGTTAAAAGATCTAAATTTTTGTTTTCAACTAAACAAAATCATTTTCAAAAATTGTGCACAAACAACCAATAAAAATAATTTATGTGTCCCTGCACATGACACCATTTTTGAAGGAATAATAAGAGATTAAGAGAAAGATGCAAATCTGATACAAGAATAGATGTGCGAAGTGAACACAATTCTTGAAGACGCAAATCTGATACAAGAATAGATGTGCGAAGTGAACACATCGTGGAGGAGGAGAATCCACAAGAAGAAGTTGACGTGTGCTCTTCTTTTGGTTTTTCTGTATTTGGTTTTTTGGTAACCACAAGATTCATTATAACGATTAAACTTTTACTACAACTAGGTAGTTAATAATTTCTTTTCGTTTATGAATATATCATGAGATCTTTTATTCAATACAGTGAAGATTTATTCGACTATAAATTTGTGTAAGAGAAAGAAAAAAAGCACTTTTGAAGTCATAGCACACGTCTCACATCTTAATGACATACTAGATGATTCGAAGATTAGTTCTGTAGCCGTGTACTTGTACTAATACAAAAATCAATCAAACAAATATCCTGATGAGCTTGAAGATTCTCTAAAACGCAGCACAAGTTCTTCGACTTGGATCCCCTTCATCTCACGCTTATCACGTAGCTGTACGCCATATATCAGTCCTGAGGAGGATTCAGTTCAAGCCAAACTTTGCTTCCTCTCAATGTAGGTCTTTAGATGAATGACAAGTAAGACATACAAGATCTTGGTGAAGATTCGGTCGATCATTCGCTTTCTCTTATGCAATTCCCTGGCAAGAGGAATCTGTACTTATCCGCGTTTTCCAGTAGATACGAAGGAAGATGAACAGCTGAGAAAGAGTGAGGGATTGGACCCATTTTCCCTATTATGTCCTTGAAAGTATACTCTTCAGGGAGCATATCGAAAAGATCAGCTCCTTTGCATATAACTCTTTGAACTCTTTTAGGATTCAAGAAATGACTAAACCTCACTCTATCATTATGGCTATAAGCTTTCATCTTGAATATAAACTCGCTGATCCGTCGAAAGCAAAAGCTACAATGCCATCCTGCATCTGCCAAGATTTCATCAGACTGGCGATAATGAGCATACCGTGTTTTACCTGTCTCATATCTATGAACGGAAGCTCTCCAGCTCTTGTTATCAACAAGAAACTCGAACGAGTAAAGATAGTTCTTGAGCCGCAGGTGAAGTATCCGAGGGATCTCATCGCACCATCTCAAAAGGTTTATGGTGTGTCTACTCGGAATCTCATCGACGTCAGACATTAGCAACAAGTCATCATCAGTGATCCCGGCGATTCTCAGAAGCTGATCCAAAGCTACTCGCTGATACGCCTCTTCGTAAAACGGATTCTGCCCTTTGACAAATCTTCCACCAAGAGTACCATAAGTCAGGCGTGGCTCGATAAACTTGAACTCGTCTCGGTGCGCAGCAAAGACAAGTGGCTTTGGCAAACCGGTGAAGGTCGAGTTTGATTCCAAGAGGACAAACTGAGTGATGTAAGGATACAATTCTCTCCAACGAACCGCGAGAATGTCAAGCTCGTTACTGAACAAAACCGCATCATAAACTCGCCTAGGGTATTCTCGCACGCCCCATCCATGGAGTTTACAAAGAGTCTCCATTGAAGCGTTCTCGTGGTAGTAATGAGGAATGTCATGAAAAGGTTTAGGTGGTGATTCCCATAGTGGCCGGAGAAAGTAAGAAATCTTCTGACCGTGGACATAACCAGCGAGCACACATGTCGGAACAATCACTAATAGGAAGATATATGTCTTCATATCCACACCACGAAGAGCACAACAAAGTCTAGAAAAGCTGAAGTATCTACCAGTTTCCTGCAACATAGAGAATCAACAATATGTTAAACATGAGATACCATAACTTAATAGGTGCAGGGAGACTGATAATAGACGATTTGCAGTATTTGAATGAGCAATCAAAAACATTCTTAAATATGAATTGAAATGATGTATAATCTCTAATTGATCCCAAAAAATATACTCAAGAACAACCATCAATCTAAACTCAGATCCAAGTAAATTTCTCAATTACTAAAAACAAAAAGAGAGAGAGACGAAAGCTACAGAATTAGGGAACTAACTACTCACTAAGAATTGCTTAACAGTGATGCGACAACAAATGCAAGTCCATGCGTAAAATCAAATAGATGGGTCGACTTATATAGATCTCAAAACTTCAAATTCGAATAAAAAATTTGCAATTTCCGAAGAAGGGAAGTAAGATCTCGTTTCTCCACATCAATGTGGTTTCTCCGTTTCTCAGGAGCAGAACAACACACAAATCTTCAAAATTTCGAAAAAAAACAAGGAGATGCAGATCGGAGATTGGAGATCAAACCTGACTACAAACGCCTCCACAGATATCATCAGTCTTCTTAGAACAGTAATGTCCACCAGCTTCTCCCATCATCCACCACATCCCAATCAGATCCACCGATAACCAAATTCTTACCAAAATGCCAACCACCGTTTCTATTCAAAAATCGCCTCTTTGGCGACGATAAGCCCAAAAAAACTTCCTCCGACGATCTCCGACGAAATCACTCGACGTACTGCTCTCCGGAACAGTTCCAATCACTCTCAATCTCAGCTCGAAGACAGTTAGCAAAACCAGAAATTTCCCAAAAAAGCTAAATCAAGAAATTCACGAGGGAACCAAAACCCTTAAATCACTTGTATCAGAGAGAAACAAAACTATCAGAAATTTGAATCAGAACAGAAAAAATAAAGAAATAAATTGATTTAAAATCGCGAATGAGTAGAGAGAAGGGGATGAAAAAGGCTGTGTCCTCTCTGGAAATGGGTGGCACTACGCGATTAAGAAAGAGAAGGGGCAAAAACACAATTTTAAATAAATGGAGAATAATCATCAAATTCTCTGCATATTCCTGAATTTACGAAAATACCCTTTTATAAATTGACAGTTGAGACGCTGTCTGGGGATGGTTTTGTCATTAAGCTAGCAGCATAACGGTTTACTCGGGCCCCACCACGAGTCTCTCGACCTGACTCAACGCCTATGTCGTGTAAATGACTTCAAGTGTAAGGTTCACACACGTGGCGCTCTGAAATATCTCCTTTAATATCTGTATCGGGCTTTCTAATTTGGGCTAGTTTTAATCGTGGCCCATTAGAGCATCCTTCAAAGGTCAGTGGAAATAATCTTAATTTTTTATTTTGTTTTTCTTAAAGAACATTTTACGGTTTCGGTATAATTTTTCAATTTAAAAGTCATTGGATGCAGTATCATTTCATGCGTAACAACAATCCTTGAGAAATTTATTAAGTTTAATGGAAGAATATGATTCAATGATTGTAAATCTTTAATAAAGCCAGTGGATCATCGTGACTTGTGTTGGATCGGTCGGCGATACATTGACTTAGAAAATTATAAGGCCGTTTACTTATGATTGAGAAATAATTTTGACTTTCTAATGTAAATCTCGTCTATAAACAAACTGTCACTTGGAGAAGAAAAAAAAAAAAAGGAAATGTGTTTTAGTCAGACGAAATTTTCCACTCTTGAGATGTGAATTGAGTATACAAGTTCCTTTCTCTGTTTACAATCATTTACTACACGTTCTCAAATCTTACTAAAAAAACTGATTTCTAAAAAGTTAATAGTAAATAATGAAGTTAGTTTATTTTTTATTTTTTGCCTAGGGAGGTTAATTAGTATTTTCAATTGTCATGTAAATATGGATTCAACTAACATGAAGCGGAACTCGTACAATTCTGATTGCTAAACTGTACAATATCACCGAGTAATAAAATGATCTCGATTTCTAATATCTGATCAAAACTATGAGAATGAGTGGACATATGAGTATGAGTACATGAAAACGAAACGGAGGCTTTTCGAGAAAAAAACAAAGATATTACACGTTTTGCAATTTGATTTAATTTCGAACATTTTTATGATCTTAATTTATCAGATACAGAAAACAGCGACGCATGATAAGAATATAAAGTTCCATTGCATACGTTAACGTGTTTCGCTATGTTTGATTAGTCGGCGTTGACTAAAGACATTTCCAAGTCTCCCACTAATAAACTTGTAGGTTTTCATTGGCTGGGACATCTCTAGCCCACTTGATCACTGAGTGGTGCAAAAAACTTCTATCTCACCACCACTCCATTCACAAAAAGTATATTCATAGCGATAAAATGTGAATTAAAAAGTAAAAACAAGGTAAGCATATTTTAATCATCAAAAAAAATTATGAATTGATAATTGATATATCCAATTAAAAGGAACAGCGTAACTTCAACTAGATGTTTAACAAAACTATACTAAGAAGTGAATAATGATATACTTCACAGCAATTAGCCGACTTATATAATAAAGGGACCTTTTGAATACGAATGTGCGTTGAGTTAGGAGAAAGTTTAACAAGCGATTCAAGTAAATAGACCATCCCGGGTTTGGGAGACGAAGAATGCCACTTTTCAAAAGTGAAGCTCGGTATGGGCCTACAGTTTGGCATAAAATGGGCCTTACTTTGGCGTCTATTTCTCCTTCGATTGTTGTGCAGAGAAGATTTGCTAATTCTCGTTGAGCTTTGAGTTTACAAGAGAGATCAGTTGAGCAATTGTAGTTTAATGTTTCACTGCGTTGCAATTGCCATACCTAGTTTAACTGATGTAGAACGTACAAGGTTAAACGTGACTAGTTTAGATATCTCGACAAATAGCAGTAATAAAAATGAAAATAAATAAAAATTATTGTGTATTATTATTATTCAGTAATTTAAAGTAATATTATTTTATTTATGTAACACAACTTTTTCGTAGTGTATCAAATATTTTTAGTTGTATTGTATTTTTTTTTTTTAAATACGTGTTTATCAAGATTGCTTTTGTTTTACACTTGCATTAATTTTAAATTTCCATTAAAAATACAAACAATATGAAACCGTTGTGGATTGAAATTTCATTCACACATTACACACACATATATATAAGAATCTATACATACATGTTACATTGACCGATTAACGCATGAGTTGAAACACACACATAAAGCAGTTAAGCACAACTCCAAAAAGAAAAGGAAAGAAAAGGTCCTTTATCGTACTTTTCGCTTTTTCTTTGATGATAGAATGAGGGCACACGAAAAGGTATTAAGACAGAGACAAACTCTGCCTTTTGTACGAATAAAACTTATTTTTCAGAAAAAATAATGTAAAGATATCAATTTTCATCTGCAGATTCGCTTTTAATCTTTGCTAAACAAATGAAAATTTTTTATTCTATTATTTTTTTAGATAAAAAAAAAAGAGGGGAAAAGGAGGAAGTAATTTTCGAGCTGTATAGTATACATTTAGTGTTTTTGTTATTACATACTCTCCCTCTGTTCAGAATTAGTTGATGTTTAAGGTTTTTGCACACAGATTAAGGATGCATTTAATATTTATTTTTTCTACACTAAAAAAAATTATCTATAATTCATTTAAATATTATTCAGCCAATAAAAAAACAATTTGCAGAATATAAAAAGTCAAAAACAATAAAAATTCATTAAATTTTACATTGAAAAGTGAAAACATCAAATAATTCTAAAAAAAAAACCTCATAAAACATCAAATAATTCTGAACAGAGGGAGTATTTAATTAGCAGTTTTAACAGGATTGTATGAAACATTTTTTTGTTTGATAAAGTATGAAAACATCTTATCTGCAATGTATTCGAAAAAACATGGCCAATTTATTTTAAAAATTGATCTCTGAAAATTCAGTCTTAATCAGATTTACAAAAACATGTAATCTAAATAACTGTATAGATTGTTCCATAAGTTTTAAAAAAACGTCATTGCACACACGAAGACCAAAAGAATATATAAAACAGAAATATTAGAAGAACATAGATATAATAAACCTTACAAAAAGCTACGGAAATACATTAAAACCCTGAACCTAAACTTCAGTTCGAAACATTATCACATCTTAGCTAGTTTAACATAAGAAGTACTCTTTAGTTAATATCCAAACATAACAAATAAAAGTGCAAAATTATAAACTATAGAAATTATAGAATAAACCCAAAACATAATCATGCATGATGAGTATCAAGCCTAGCCCCACGATTTTCGACAAGTACATCCCAACTGAGTGCCGTACATCAACATGTCCTGATACCCCCACTCGCCTGATCCGTACGTAAAACCACCGTCAGCGGCAGCGCTCACGCCGTCGAAGTAACCAGAATTGTAGGGGACAACGGAGAGAGCAGAGAAATCACCCGAGTATGATGGTGGAGACTGCGGAGGAGTTGGCGGCGGCGGCGGAGGACGGTTAGGGTTTTTCTTCAAGAACTCTTGAACAACCTCTTGCAAGAGACCAGTCTCCGAGTAGTTTTCTTCAGGGGAAGACGAAACGTGAGCCGTTTTAGGTTGAGAGTAAGAAGAAGACGAACCGTTGAAAGAGTTAAACGGCGACGTTTTAGAAGAGGAGCACGATGCGTCGCGTAAGAAGAGAGGCTCTTTATTACTCCTCTGCAGTGTCGGTGTACCGAAAAACTCATGAGTAGAATGATCCAACGGAATCGGACAACGAACGGACGGTTGATATTTTTTGGAGAAAAAAGAGAATCTAGGCTCAGGAACAGGAACTGCATTAGCCGTCGGATAAGTGAAATTAGTACGAGCCTTAGATCCACGAAAGGTACGAGCTGCGACGTCGTAAGCACAAGCAGCTTCCTCCGCCGTGTCGAATGTTCCGAGCCACCGTCTCTCCTTCGACGTCGGATCACGTATCTCCGCCGCATATCGTCCCCACGGCCTCCGCCGAACGCCGCGGTACCTCGTCTTGGTGCATCCATCTCCGGGGACGGTGACAGTTATCTCCTTTGAAGATGATCTGCGGTTAACCGGTGAAGCTTTGGCTTTGGTGAAGTTTCGCTTGAAATGAATCGGGTCGGGTTCGTAATCGGGTATGGGTGAGTTGAACTTTCTTAGGGCTTCTTCCATTTTTTTCTGGTTTTAGGGTTTTGTGTTTTGAAGGAAAACAAAAAAAGTAAAGAGAGATGAAGATTTATTTGGTACTCTTTTGGTGTTGTTGTTGCTGGAAAGTTGTTGGTACTTTGACAAAGATGGAGCTTCTTCTATCTATTTATAGGCACATGAAATTGTTTAGTTTTTGTAAAGAGTATATAATGGCATCATCAATGAATTGCACACAGAAGAAAATTATACAGTCGAACTTAAGATCGATCTGATTAATTACGTACTGATATGATAATGCTTCTTTTATTTGTTGTAATCATTTTAATCTTCAGAAACGTTTTACACATTGTTATGTAAACGATAATTACTTTTAAGAATTAATTTTTTTACAGTTTAATTTTAAAAACTATATGTTTAAAACATGTTAAAAAATGTTTTAACACATTCTTAAATTACTTATGTTTTCTATCTCTTTCATATACTATTAGAGATAAGAAAAAGAAAAAAAAAGGGAAAATGAGGAAGACGTTTTGAAGTTTTTGTCTAGACAATGTTGTATTTTCATTTCCCGTTATTGATTTTGTTAGGTGAAGCAAATGGACAGATTAAAAAACAAAAAGATTGAAATGTTTTCAACAGACCATTAACGTTTTCACACATGCTAAACACATTTACGTTACTTTTATATGATTAGTACATATGTAAACGGTAAACCCGTTATTTAATTAAGACTACCAATTAAAAAACAGTTGTCAAAAAGTAGGAGTTTGTTTTTGTTTAATGTTTTATAGATATACTTAAATGATTCTTATGTATCCTTTAAAATTGTTTTGTACGGCAACCCTCATGTTCATTATAGTACCGTATACTTTAGCATTGAAAATCGACAATATCGAGAACAAAATTAATGATTTTGGAAGTTGAGAAAAAGTATGGAACCAAAGATATGCGTAGCAAATGTAGCAACACTACAGTGTAAATCTGACACGTATATGTATTATTGTACGAATAGGACTTTTCAGGTTTGTCTAAACGGATGTATGAGGCAGATATATCTCATGAATCAGAAGCTTGCTTTTTATTTATTGCTTCTGTCCTGATATATATAGCTCACGTTACATTATACAGAACCATGCAAAATTAAAAGTATATATATACCTACAATTTTTGATGTAAAAATAATATTAATTATATACAGATAAGCTTTAGCCGTTGTTTTATCAAGTTTTGAAATAGCGTCGTAGTTGCTGCGTCTGTGTTTACGGAAAATGTGGCAATTGCGGAAAATGTGGCAATCAACATAAATATAAATAACCATCGTGATGTGAACAGTGAACAGAACCGTCTCATATATCATTGCATCTCTTGGGGTTTCAATTTTAGAGATAGTGTTTATTTTAATCTCGAAATGCGTTTAGCATTCACAAAAACGTTAATTAATATGCGATAGTATTAAATTATTAATATGTTGTTTTTGGAAATATTTAACTCAAAAAGGATGTACAAAAATTCTATTTTTTTCCTTTAAAAAATGCATCTATAGTCAAGTATTAATATATATATATATATATAGATATTCAAATATGAATGAGAACTTTACAATATCCATGCAAGCATGACATAAAATTGTGTCTGTGGTAGTTTGGATTAATAAATATAATAATAACTGTTCAATTATTTCAATATGGTAAGTCGAGACCATAAAGGAAGTTATTTGGAATTGCAAAAATGATTACTGAGAAATTTTTCAAATATTGGGGAACAAATGACTGGATTTCCAGCTCACTCCTACAAAAATGTCTTTTGTGATTTCCAATGTTACGAAACGAGTTATACTCCATTGGCTCGTGTTCCGAGTTATTTTCGTTTGATGTATATGTATATGACCTATTTTCCATTTCCTACAAAGTATTAACTTCAAAATACTTAAGTTTGGCTTATGAGTTGACATGTCAGATGTGAATTAAACCTTTCCTAGTTGTTTAAAGGGAATTTTAGCTAAATCAATTGCTTATAATCAAACGGTGATTAATCTACCTATCTCATAACCGAACAAAAACTTGAAAGGAATATAGCCCAACCAAACACACTAAAAAATAAGTCAAGAATCAAAATTCATTTAAAGATTTAGCATTTTACCAAAAAGGATATTAGTATATACTATATAATTCTTTCATTTAACCAAACAATCTAAATTTCTAACTAATTTATTTTCTTAAATAACATTTTTAAATGATTTATCTTGTTTGAATTTTCATTAATTAACCGAAATGTAACTGATACAAATCAGTACACGTCTATAAAACCTCTATCCTATTTACACCGCACGGCATACCATAATATATTTCTTGTTGGAAGTGTTGGATTTTTAAATGTTCCATTAACGTATTTTTTTTGGTATAAACGACAAGAGTATAGTGTAACCAATCAAAATGTGATTTGATAGACTTTGAAAGGAGGAGTAAATGGTGTGGGTCGACAAAAGGAGATTTTGTGACGACAAAGAAAGAGAGTGTGAAATACCAAAACTCCAAATTCAATCAATCAATTTTTATCCTTGAAAAAAGGACTTTACTTCTTCAACCTATTTTTTATTCTTCCAAGAACAAAGAGAAATCAGCCTTCCACATTTAAAGAAAAAGACAATGAGCCCTTAAATCCTTTATATACCTATATTTTTTCGAGTTAAGAAAATGTGAGACGAATAGAAAAAAAAAAAACAAATCCCGTTAAAAGTGAGTGACCTTTTGGGACATCAGAAAAAGATCATTCTCCATCATTTTGCCCCCTATGATGTGGACCCTCCGCACCCATGCGTTACATAATTATTACTCGCTGATTTGACTATCTAGATTTTTATGTTTATTTTTCTATATCAGCTCGTAAAAATAAAGCCAAACATCAATAAATGCATCTACACGCTGAGTAATTCTATCTAGTTCGCAATATAAAGATAAGAAAGTAATCATAAAAAAAATTGATAAATGATAGTTTGACAAATCTTTTAAACTAATCATAAATAGTTTTACGAAGAATATAATTCTGACATTTTTCACACAAATTAAGAAATAAAATAAAAGGTCTTTTATATCTTTATTAATTTATAAAAAATAATTTTTGAAATTATATTTATAATTAATTTTCTGAATTTATTGAGGTTTAAAATGGTATTTTATGTTAAAAATTACATTAAAATTTTAAAACGACATTCTTTTTAAAACAAAAAAGAATATCAGCACTCTTTATGAAACGAATGGAGTATATAGTTTGCCAAATCTTAACCAAATATTAGATTAATCAATATACCAGCTAAAAACTAGTTCCGGTAGAAAACAAGAACTATGATGTCTAAGGTATTTACATTGGTTATAAAAAATACAGAAAATCGACCACCATTGACCATGTGTGATGATAGTAAATTGAGTTTTTTCCATATAACTAAATTATAATTTATGGGATTTAAAAATAATAATATTAATAATAATAATAATAATTTATGGGATTTCGATTTTATATTCGAGTGATTTCAGATTAAAGACAATACATTAGACAACACATTAAAGACAACACATTACACATTGGTACCAATTCGGATTCGACATTATTTTTCTAATAGGCGGTTTAGAAATTTAAATACTTTAGATTTGTTACAAAACGTCTACATATAGGATTAATATTTTAAACTACTCGGAGGTTCAGTTTTAAGCAAACCTCTAATCGATCATGTAACGTCTGAGAAGTAACTTAATCACTTTTCCTTTCCACCTTTTGTCAATTAGTGTTATCATTGTGATTGAGCAGTAGTGGCACTTTATGCTTAGACTATTGAGAGGATAGACCAAACTTACTGTTTGAGTTTAATTACACTAGAGATGGGTCCTAATCTATACATACTAACACATTGATTGTGGTTGCTGATCATAAGCTTACTTTTTGACAATGAATTATTATTAAATGAGTATACCATATAAATATCATACACGTGTTTCTGCTATAATTAATTAATTAAAATAATTGTTTTTTCTTATTAAAGAGTTTGAATACAAAGATGGACGGTGTGTTAGAACTACACAACGAAACCGATCTATATCAATGAAATCCGAAATAAAAAATCAAGCATTGTTGTAATTATTCAAATTTGTAGTGATACGAAAAAATAAACACCTAATAATAATAGTGGAGAGTAGTAAAGTTTAGGAAAAAAGAGAGGCGAGGAGCATAATGATCTGCCAAACTCAGAGTAAGATCAATACTTTTTTTTTTTGTTCTGATCAGATTGTCTCCTAATCTCTCTACCTCTAAAACCTTAGGGTCAGATTCATATGTATGCATAGACAATGTACGCCCATTAAACCATTAGCAAACAAGAAACTGGCAGATAATAAATGAATACTATTATTACTACTCTTAATTTATTATTATTATTATTATTGGTGTATTAATGTCGAAACCCTAGTCCCAAGATCCATCATCATTCCTTTTTTCTGTAACTAGATGTTCTTCAACAGCTTTTGTCCCACAAGTGTCTTTGGAACAATGGGACAAATTAATATTTACTCATGTGCTTTTACTATTTTTCAAGTTATATGTAAGCAAATATGTAGTTGTAAAAAAAATAACCGGGTAAGAAACAAAGTTTAAGTAGACAGCTTGTAAAGACCAAAGACACCACACCATAGTTGAACAACTACACTAGGATGGATTGGTATAACGAGAATATTCAACGTCCTCATTGGTGTAGTGAGAACATTTAATGATTTAGTTATAAAATAAGAATAATTCTGTTTGTAACGCATATCGAAATCGGAAATTTCAGATTATTTAGTTATTGTGAATCTCCATTGTTTATTGAATCTTCCCCCGTAAATGTATTTCCCACGTGATTTATCTCCTTCTTTGTAAATAAATATAAAATCCCTAAAAAACTGTGTGAAAAAGAAAAATAAAAAATTGTTACGTAGAGTGCTGCAGTAGTACAGAATGGGACTAAAAAGATTATTAAGGGCCCAATAAGCCAACAAAAAGAAATCTCAGAGTAGTTGATCCAAAAACGAGTCTTTAGGCTTATTAGGCTTATTAGCTCCTCCAGAAATAAGATTAGTAACAATGGAGCTTCCCCATGAGAGCCAACCTGTTGCTCCTCCTTGTTGCTTATCTGCTTCAATCACACTCCTCACTTGCTCTTCCTCGACCATCTCTTCCCACTTCTTCCTCATGAACTCTCGAACCGCTTCGGCGCTTTGGTTAACCATCTCTTGCGGAGGGAACTCCAATGGGTTCTGGTCCAAGTTCAGTTTCTCCAGCTTCTCCAGCCTGAAAAACGAGTCGGGCAAGACTCTGATCTGGTTGTTGCTGATATCTAGCTCCCTGAGGTTAGCTAAATCAGAGATGGTGTCAGGCAGTTCGGTCAAATCGCTGAAATTGCTGCTCAGGTTCATGACTTCGAGGCTCGTGAGTCTCCCTATAGCTATGGGAAGCCCGTAGATTTCGTTCATGTGTGCATCTAGATACCTTAGAGAACGCATCTCGCATATCGAATTGGGGAAGAAACGGATCTTGTTCAGCTGGATTGATAGCCTTTCGAGGTTGAGTAATCCGTATCCGATGTTTGCAGGCAAAGAAGTCAAGTTGTTGAAGCTAGCATCTAGCTCGACTAGTGACCTAATCACAAGAACACATCCTCTTCAGAATTGGGTAATAAGCTAAAACGGAACAACACATGATCAAACGTATAAGCACAAACAAAACCTGCACTGCGTTATGCTTTCTGGGAGTGAAGTTAGCTTGTTCCCAGTCACATTTAAGATCCTCAAGTTAAGCAATAGTCCAATAGAGTCGGGAAGAGACCCAAGAAGGTTTGAAGATAGATCGAGCTCCTCTAATTTCTCAAGTCCTGAGATTGCATCAGGTAGGAACTGCAAAAGGAGAGCAGCTTTAGTTACTTCAAGGGACGACCACACCAAAAAAAATGGCTCCGATCAAGATCTTGTCATGTCATTGCTCACAACAATCAAAAGTGTTGAAAGACAAGATTTAGATCATCAGAACTATGAGTTGTCCATCTACAAGTCTTTCGAATTCGTCGACTCAATAGTTTACGGTGACTAATAGATCGTAAGACGATCAAGCTTCACACAAACACCAAGATTCATAAGCTAAATCCTCTCATTCCAAATTACAAAAGTTGCTTGCTTTGATTTTGCTTTACAGAACACAACTCCTACGAATCAGAGAACTCGTTGAGATTCTAGCTCTAACGTAACTGGGATCTCACGAACAAAACTAAGCAATACTGTTCGAGCAAACAGTATCCACGAAACAACACAGGATTATTCATGTGGAAAAAGATTCAAATTCTTGGGCATTACCTTCAGATCGTTGCGAGAGAGATTCAGTGAAACCAAACCAACGAATTTGCCTAAAGCTTCAGGAAGAAGCTTAAGCTGACGATCAGAGAGATCGATCCTCTCAACGACGCCACCACCTTCTGCTTCCCTGAGCACCGCGAGAACCTCTTCGTTCACTTCATCGCCACCGTTCAATGACTCAACCGCCGAAGCATAAACCTTAGACAGCTCCTCCTCCAATTCCCTCAATTGCTTCTCGTATCCCTCGTGAACTTCCTCCAACCGAACAACCGTAGCGTAAATCTGCTCTTCCTTGGCCGCATCCTCCGGCGACAGCGAATTATTCTCTCGGATCTGAGCGATCTTAGACCGAGCAGAGGAGACAGATAAAGGATCGGGTCGAGGCCCAAGAGAGCCGAAGACGAAAAGAGTCTGCGTGATGGTACTGGGAATCGATTCGATCAGCGAGGAGATGACATGCGGATTGATGAGAAGGGGATAACGATTCGCTAAGGCTTGCTGAATCGCCGGAGACGGTGGCGCGTGAGAAGCGGGATCGGAGTGGTGGATGACGTAGGAGAGCAACGGGAAAATCTCGATATCATGATCCATTCTCTACGAAAGATTGAAGAATCAAAATAGTTTTGATTCTATTGATTTAGAAAGTATAGTAGTTTATACAAGCACAGTACAGTGTATGTAGATGACAAGGTTTGGTTTTTCGGTATTGTGACATTTGTATGATAATCGCTAAATTAGTTCCGGTTTATTTGGAACCGGATTCTTTTCGCTCTTCATCAGCTGGGCTTTCTTAAGACCCAAAAACAAGAATCTGAGTTTTAAGCCCATTAATATTTAGCGCGTTAAAAATCCTAGGTCTCGAAATGGGGTAGGTTTTCGTTCTCGTCTCTTGGGCCGTACTGCGAGGGAGCATGAAGAAGACGAGAAAGCTTCGAGAACACGTTTCCGCCGGACACGGTCGTATCGGAAAGCACCGTTAGCATCCCGGAGGTATGCATTCACCACCGTATCCTCTTTGACAAGTAACATCCTGGATATTTCGGTAAAGTTGGTATGAGGTATTTCCACAAGCTCAGGAACAAATTGTATTGCCCGATCGTCGTTCTCGAAAAGATATGGTCGATGGTGCCTTAGGAAATCAAGGAGAAAGCTTCCAAAGACAATGTTCCGATGATCGATGTTACTCAGTTTGGGTATTTTAAGGTTTTGGGAAAAGGTTTCTTGCCTGAGAATCAACCTGTTGTCGTCAAGGCTAAGCTTGTGTCGAAGACAGCTGAACAGAAGATTAAGGAAAGCTGGTGAAGCTATTGTTCTCACTGCTTAGGTTATCTCATAATGCTACTTTGGCTCGTTAGACTTTTTTTTTTTAATCAAATATTCCTTTTTTGCCGTCATCTCATCAATTCTTCTCTGATTTGTTACAATTGATTTGATATACAAATGGATCAACGACGTCTGTATTCGTATTCCACATATGAAATGATAATGTTTTAGTAAGACCCTAATTCTCAAAAGTTTCAATGTTTTATAGATAAGTGACATCACAAGTTAAAAGCTTTTTAGAGAAGAGAGAATCAAAACTCCTTTTGGTTCGGAAACAAAAATGCGATTTGCATGCAGATCTTCTTAGCATGCCTTAGAATAAAACTTTTATTAGTTCAAAAGAGTCTCTTTCTCTGCTATTCCTCCCCATTCTCTTATCCTCTCTTCCGCCATTGCAGCCTGCCAAAATATATCACTCAAACGTTAGAACAATCGGTCAAGTGAGATCTTGTTCTATCAGTCTTAGTATTTTGATTCCTTACCTCTTTCTCCCAATTGGTTTTGCAGATCATCCATGTCAGGACTATCGATTGAACAAATGTTCCGGTCATCATCCCCCACCAGATTCCCTGATCAATATAAGTTTCCATAACATCAAAAACTCTGCTTTTTCTTGTCCATTAAAAAAAGGTTTTTAGCTAGATAAATAATTTGAAATTTTTTGATTACCATTACTCCGTATTCAAGCTTAAATCCCAATAATAGACCAAGTGGGACTCCGAACAAGTAATAGCAAGCTATGTTCACATACGCAACAACCGCTTGCCATCCCGCTCCCACAGCCACTCCTGCATAAATAATCGAATTTTATTAACTATAACTATGCCACATTCCATAAACCATTTTTCCACTCATATCTAAATAGTTTTTAGTTTAAAGTTTATGTACACTCGCATAGTATCATCAGGCCCCAAAAAAAAAAAATATTGAGGTTCTTAGAAATACAGTAAAACCTCTATAAATTAATAATGTCGGGACTATGATATTTTATTAATTTATCGTGATATTAATTTATCTGTAAATTAATAATTATTAATTTATAGAAAAAATCAGCTTTCTATCTATAATTTTCTAAAAAATTTATTGGAATAATGTTATATTTTAAAATTTAACAAATATCGTAATGTAAATTATGATTAACAATTATAACTATCGCAATAAAATAGTTTTTAATACCATATCGGATTGTCCATGTAAAAATATACATGTTCATGAGTTTAAAGTTTTTTAAAAAATCATAACTATTATCTGTATTATTGATGATAAAATTGAAAATAACACTACAACACATTTAAAAAATATTTACAGGTAAAAAAATCAATTATCACATCAAAAAATCATCATAAATTTTGAATGTATATTTTAAAACACCAATAAAAACTAGTGATATAATAATTATAGAGATAAGATCCAATGAAATTTCACCCTTAAAGTAAAAGCAAACACATTAGCCATATTTTAGAATATTATATTTATATATATTTGCATAAATATATATATAATTATTAATTTATATTTTTGTTGGGATCATATATTTACATAGGGATTTCAAAAAAATTATTATCTTTTTATTGTATCGAATTTGATGGAATTTTACATTGCCCCGACTTGGGACCAGTAAAATTTATTAATTTAGAGTGATTATTAATTTATCGAGTATTAATTTATAGATGTTATACTGTATAATGATGGTGGTTTTTTATGAGAAATACCAGATAAGACAGGTTGAACATTGTTGATGACAATGCAGAAGGCAAGCATTGGTGTGAGTTCTCTAACCACATTCCTAACTACTTCGTCTTCTACAAAGAAAACAGGGTACTCTTCTCGGAAGAAGATTAGGATTGCAGCTATAACCATCCCGATCGCTGTCGATAATATCACTGCCACGACTAGAGAGAACTTGGCCGTTCTTGGGTGGCTAGCTCCTAGCTCATTTGACACTCTCACACTGCCAAAACAAAACAAATTAACGTATTATTAGCTATATGTGTAGATATTCGAAAAAGTTAATTATCACACGTGTGTGGATTGCACTTGAGAATTTACCTTACTGCTGCGTTTATCCCAAATGATACCATAGCTGCCCATCCCAAAATGTTCATGCTTCATTTTAGGTAAATAAATCAATAATTAGATAAAGTTTTGTAACGAAGAGTCTGAGATTTTGAATATATCTTATTCCTTATTACACTCAGTTGAATCTATTAATTTTGTAATGAATAGACGTCTATGCAATCCAGCAAAATTAGTTTAAAAAATGTGTGAGATATTTGAATCGAGTATTTGACTCTAGTGGCTACCAAAGACAAAACAAAGAGACCACTACGCACGTTGGGGTCTACTCTCTTTTTTTTTGTTTCTCGGTCACGGGGATCTACTCTTATTTAGAGAATCTTTATAATATAATTTAAAGGGTTAAATAAATGAAAAGATAACAAATCATGTAACGTTAATTAATGTTGAGAGTAAATGATTTAATTTAAGAGATGTGTTTATTTGCAGAAATATAATACCATATGGAGAGTGCAGCTACGGAGACTTCAGCATTCTTCAAATATCCAGCAAATAATACGAGTGCCATGAAATACCAAACCTCCAAACTACAGAAGCAACAACCCCCAAAAAAAAATATGAATTAATCGGTCAGACCAGAAAATAACCGTGAAAAAAATGCTATAAACTCACCAAATCATGACAGCAGAAGCCAAAGACAGTTTGACAAATCCCCACAAATTGTGAAAAGCCTCCCATGTGAGTCCAGACCAAGCCTCCCCACATGTACCACTAAAAATATACACAAGTTGTGCCACAACGATGAACAACCACGACGTGTTAAGCACGAAAGCTAAACCGGGAAGTCCCCACTGGAACCTAGACATGACTAGCCACGTGAGGAACGTGTGGGTCACAAGAGCCACGCCAGAGATTGCTGCCATGGCCATGATCTTGCTCTGCGATTGCAAAAACTTTGCGGTAGGGAAATTGATGGCGTAGGCGAAGATTTGTGGGATCATGTAGATGGAGAAAAGCCCGGCCATGGCCGAGATTGCAGGGGTTTGGCCTATGAAGGTTAGGATTGGAGCAGCGAAAATATAGAGTAGAGAAAGGATGAGAGCGGTTGCGGTTAGAATCACCCACGAGCGTTGTAAGTAAACGCCGAGCAGTGATACTTTTCCAGCTCCAAACGCTTGTCCGCATAGCGTTTCCAACGCACTTCCCATTCCAAGCTAACCGTAGATAAAAATTAACGGCCGTAAGAATTGTATGAATTTGGTTACAAAATACTAATACATAAGTCACACTTTTATCATTATAAATTTTATATAGCTACTGTAGATTCTAACATTAGTTTGAAATTTTGTTTTTAAAAATCGTTAAAAATAACTTATCATATAGCCCATACTTTTTTTCTCGTTTCAAGTGAATTGGAGCAGTAAAGATATAGAGATTATTATGAGCATCATATCTATACTTAATTAAGACATAATTTTTATTTATAATAATTATACAAACTTTAATTGTACAAAAACTATCATAATATAATATGCAAAAGATTAAGTTACATGCATACCATGATACCAAAGGAGAAACCGGCGATGACGGAGTTCTCGATGGAGACGGCGGCGAGGGCGATGGTGCTAATATGTCCGGCGAAAACTTGAGTGACAGCTCCGAGAGAGAATTGGGCCATCGAAGTGAAAATGGCCGGGCCGGCTAATTTCCATAGTTTCTTAGACTCAATTCTAAACTCTCTGATGAAGTCTCCGACGCCGGAGATCGGCGGGATATCGACGGCGGTAGAGGAGAAGGAGACAAGCGAAGATGCTCTGCTTCCGACTCCCAAATAATCCATCAATGCTTTCCGGGTCGTCGGGTCAAGTTCCTCCGTCGTCGAGAGAAACGGATCCATGAAGTCATTATCTTTCTCCATTATTCGACAAAGAGATAGAGAGATAGCTTGCTTCGAGTTAAGAAGAAGACCGATGATCTTTTGAACTTTAGGTATCAATAATTCATAAATATAGATACTATAAACTCCTCTTTTCTTTTGAGGGGTCTCTTTTTTTTTTATTGTGGCATCTATCGATCATCTATGGGTCTATTAATATACAAGTAGACTTTGTAAGTAGGAGTTTTTGGAAGAGGAGTAAAAGACAGCTTCAGGCTTGGAAGTTTTTTTTTTTAAATCAGACAGCTTTACACCAGTTAATACTTTGACTTAGTGTTCCACAGTAAAGATTTTATGTGTCTGTCCAGTGTTGTATAACTGTCATACCAAATCAAAGAGTAAAGAATTGATAAGTTATCGCACGGCTAGGCTAAACGCCTAAACATAAAATAAAACAAATTGGAAAAAGCAAAACACGGTAATAATAATGCATATATATATATATGGTTAGAGAAATATATATACTACAAGTTTTTTTGATTTGTTTTTCTGAACTGATTGACCATTAAGAATTTAAGATCTTTGTTTCGTGGACTCCATGTGCCATTTTGCTACGTGCATACGTGCATAGCAATTAATGTGGTAGATTTCGATATCCCGAGAATGGTAAACATAAGAAAGATAATTAGATTAATCTACTTATATAAATCTAATTGGCTAATGTAGTATATAGTTGGCTCATTAGAGACCCAATGAAAACTTAGTAGACTAACTAAACACACAATGAAAACTGCATAGGCCCATATAACTTTCCAATGGCGTTTTAGCACAATAGCAAAACGGGAAGATAGCAAGAATTTTTTCTTTTCTTGTCAGTCACTCAAGACTTGATTCAAGATTGCAAGGTTTCTTTGTGAATTCCCTTTTTTATATATTTATTACTGGTAATGTGTTCGGTAATGAAAAGGTTCAATCAACGAGACACTTTAGTTTTCAATTGTATACTCCGCAAAAAAAAAAAAAAAAAAATCCCATTCAAGAGCATTTGAATTTTGAACAATGTTTAAAGAATATTTTAAGAAGGTCCCTAGAATTTTTAACACTACAAATAACTGTTCCTTGTAGATGAGATTAATTCTAATAATTCTAACGCAAGAGTTTTTCATGCTCAGGATAGGTTGATTATTAGCTGATTTAAACATAAATTCTATTAGACGAGATATCGTCACGCTCACGATGAGACTCAGATTACATCGGTGCGACGAGCTCATTATGATTAAAGAGCTTGTTTCATATCCATCAGGTATAGCAAGCTGTCATTTCGCCCATAATAAGCTTGTCGCCACAAATCACAAGAATCACATTCATCTATTGCATTAGAAAGATATTACACCTTTATCATAGATATGAGATTCCTCTTTGATCTAATATAAAACGACTAAAGATTTTTTTTTTTTTTTGGTCGAAAAACGACTAAAGATGGTATATAAATTAGTAATGATTCCTATGTAGGCAGAGGCAGCGGACACAAAAACAAACAAACAAAAGATTAGCCCATACAATTTGTATAGACAACGCCCCTATTAAATTTTTGTAATCTAGTAATTTGTATTTTCATGTTTTTTAGGCCATGTCATTATTCACGATCAACAAAAAACAACTATATATGTTTTAAAAAATATTTATATTAAATGAAAATAACGTTGGTTCATTTCATGATGAACAAACATTTACAAAAGTACTCCATAAAGAGAAAGCAGTAACTGGTAGGTTTTACATTACATACACAAGTAACAGAACTTGTTACACAATTGTAAGGAAAACGAGAAATAGAGTTCTTGAGAACTCTTAAAAAGGACAAAGAGAAGAAGACAAAAAGGCATACTCAATAATAGTCAATACACACAACAAACAAACGAGAAAGCCCTGCACTTGATCAAGTTTCAGGATGAGTTGTTGCTCGGCCTCTTTCGCTCTTGCTAGTTTCCGCGAACTTTAGGCTAGCGGTATGTAAGTTTTTAGCTTGCTCTTTAGAGTTCCACTCGGAAAGGTAATAGTCTTCTTCAGTCACTTTCTTGGAGGAAGGTCCACAAAACATACCTCCCCATTGTGGAAAGTAAATAAAACATATTGGTAAAGAACACGCAATTGACATAATCCCCATCAGTGTTATACCCGTCTCTCTCGAGTATGTTGATCCTTTGAAGAATATCAATTGAGTTAAAACCGCACCTACATTACCTCCCGCACCTGTCATTCCTGATATCACTCCAAGAGATCTGCATAACAATATATTGGTTAATTAGTCTAGTTTCAATAATTACAATTACCATGTGAAATTTTTACAAATCTTTACCTTCTAGAAATAAAAGGAACGACGCCAAAGGTAAGACCACAAGAGGCTTGGACGAAGACAGAGAAGATGAGCATAACAACTATAGACCATGTCAAGGAAGCAATTTGGCCAAGGAATGCACACAAGACACCTCCTACTGTTTGAATAATCCACCAAGACCACAACCTTCCTCTCATACCAAACCGTCTGGCTATAAGATCGGAGAGAATTCCTCCTCCGGGTCTAGCGAAGAAATTGGCCAGACCAAAACTCGCAGCTATAATCCCGGCCGTGTTGAGGTTTAAGTGGAATCTATCAAAGAAATACTCAGCGATGATGTTGTCGATGGTGAGCTCTACTCCAAAACAATAGCCATATGCTAATGCTGTTATCCATCCCCTATAGTTGCTGATCCCATGTGTTATCACTTTCCCCACTTCATCTTTCTCCTTCTCTCCCGATTTGTGCATTGCCCAATAATCTCCATCAGGAAGATCCTTTTATTATTTTTTCAAAATACAAAAAAAAAAAAAAAAAAAAAAACTCAAACGCATTAGTGATATGATCAATCAGTAATTGTCTATATCTAACGGACCATTGGTACTAATTTAATCGATTAGAGAATCTACTATATATAGGTTGACCATCCAAAAAAAAAAAGTATCTCCACTACTATATTAATCAAACCAAACCCAAATAGAATCTTTTAAACCGTTATTATTTAGGGAATATGTATGTACTTTCTGGTGTAACTGATTAAACGATTAGTTTTCAAATTCATGCTCTGTTTCTTGGTAAACAGAAAACAAGTATGTAAGAACAGTTTGTTTTTTTTCTTTTGAATCCAAGTTTAACATTTATTCAAAAAAAAAAAAAAAAACTGATTAAACAATTGGGTCAAGAATTAAGAGAACCGGATTATTATAATTAATAAACCGGGAAAACAGAATTAAACCGGTTACCTGGCCGAACAAGAGAACGGCGAAAGCAGAGAAAGTCTGAAAGAGGCCAGGGATGAAGAAAGCGATCCTCCAAGCCGTGAATTTTGTGGACCCCATTTTTCGGATCGCCGAGAACACGAGCGGCATGATCAGCTGCGTCGCGCCTCCTCCGAGATTACCCCAACCGGCGGCGATTCCGTTAGCCGAACCGACGACGGGACCGGAGAACATAGAGCTCATCCAGAACTGCGTCGAGACGAAAGTGGCGAGCGAGAAGCCGGCGAAGAATCGGACGAGGATGAATCCGATCGGAGATTTGATCCCGGAGGTGAAATAAACGGCGGGAGCGGTGGAGAGGGTTAACGCGGCGGAGGCTAAACGAGGGCCGAAGAGGTCGCAAGCCGTGCCCATGACGAGACGAGCGAAGACGGAGCCGGAGACGGAGGCGATTCCGGCGTTTCCGATGTCGGTGGCGGTGAGATTGAGGTTATCGCGGATGATTGGGAGGAGAGGAGGAGCTGCGAAAGTGGAGACGAAGCAGCAGAAGAATTGGAACCATGAGAGATGGAAAGCTCTCATGTGAGGCTTTGCCATGGAGAATAGCCGGAAAGTTGTTGATTTGTTCTCCGCATCCACCGGAAGTGCGAATCTCCGACCGGTGGTGGTCCCGGCTTCTCCTCCTTTGCCTTCGACCTCCATTTTTGTTTGAGCTTTGAGAGAGAGTTTGGAGGGAGGGAGTGAGATTCAGGTGGAGTTTAAGGAATGAGAAGATTTTTTGAGGAATCTAAGTGTTTGAGGTTATGAGTATATATAGAGGAAGCTGTGTGTAAAAGGCTCTGACATTTTCGTGATGATGCATTCTTTTTTTATGTTTTCTAATGGATGCGAATTCTGGTTTTGATTGGATTAATTCGGTTTAGGAAGCGTGCATGGAATCTAATACTGTTCGGTTTAGAACATCATTATGTAAATTTTAAAATTATTCTGTAACGTCCAGTGAAAGTTTATTTTGGTTTAGATTAGGTTGATTGTGATTTGTGAGATACAATAGAAGAATAATTCTAAGATCGAGTGTTTCGACTCAATCCGGATCAACCCGGTTTGGATGAAGTTTACTTGCTTTTTGAAACTCCTAAAATAAATCTAAAATGAAAATAATAAAGTTTGAAAACTATGAAATCCCTTTCGTCAGGTGTAGTTGTTGATCATGTTTGGGTTTATATATTGTTTATGAGTTTTTATTCAAAAATAATGTTAGTTTTTTCTTAGAAATGAAATCCCATTTCGAAAGTGTGCAATGTAGGGGTGTAAGTTTACCAGATATATCAATGTCGTCTTGTATGTTACATATATACAAAACTATTTATCGTAATGTGGGGAAAATAGAACAACTCATCGTAGATATATGTTGCATAAATGATATAAAACGATCATCGATGTTAGTCTGCAAATAATTAGACTCGTATGTTGTAAATGGTATATCATCATTTTTAAGATTTCGATAATGAGATAAAATACGACAAAAAGTTTGAAATACAGTAGTAAGCTTTTGTCATACAATCGATATTTTTGGGATGTGTATGAATACAAAACTCTAGTAGATATAAATAGCTAGCTAACATAAATCCACAGTCGGTTATTCCGATCTACAAGTATGCAAGAAATTAAATAGTATTCTTTCTTTTCAATGTAAATGTTGTTTTGACATTTTTTACTCGAATTTTGATATAAATTAAACTCATACACATAAACTGATTCTTGAACCTAATAATTTTTGTTTTCATTAATATCAAACAGGGGTAAATTAGATCAAAATTAAACTGAAGTTCTGAAATAAATTTTAGTTTACACCAATATACAGAATAAACGACATTTACTTTAGAACTGGCGGAATCGTGTTATAATCTCTATATATACATCCATATAATGTTGTATAAGATTAAGGTGCAGTAAATTCATTCTTATGTTGTTGTCAATTGTCATTGAATATTTATATTAGTCGAGTAAGAAAAACTCAAAATCTTAGTAGTACAATTTTCCAAATATTTACTTCTGATATTTTAAATCTTATACATATATTTAGATATTAGGTAGTTGTTATACTTGTTATATAAATTAATAGTAATGTTCAAATATTTACTTCTGATATTTTAAATCTTATACATATATTTAGATATTAGGTAGTTGTTATACTTGTTATATAAATTAATAGTAATGTTCGAAGTCAATACTTTAGAGTTGAGACTCGGGGAATAGTAGCTTCTTTTAAGCTCTTTAACCATGGGAAAGGTAAAGTCCTCGAGACATCAACTTTGGCAAAGTCTTAGCTACAACAAAATGTTACAATACTTCTCAACTTGTTTATTTCGTAAATTCTTTGTCTACATCTTTTGTATGTAATGATTTTGTTACTGATTTATGAGGTTTATTAAACAATCTAAAAGTATCAATCAAACAGTCTATAAATAAAAAAGGAGAACTAATTTTAAAATTTGTAAAAAAATTAAAAATTAAAAATCTTTTTTTTTTCTTTTTGAAGTTCATCGTTTCTCTGAATTTGATAGCCAGCCTAAATGTCATACCAAAACATAGTGACATTACATAGAAAAAAATAAAATTTATATAATCAGTGATGTTTACATAGAAAAAACCAAAATTTATATGATCGGTGAAAAATGACTTTATGTTATTTATTATGAAATAACAAAATTTTAGATATATCTTCAAAAAGATAAGATTATCATTTTTTATTTTCAATTATAGTTTAGTGTATTCAATTTGTTTTTTTTTTCTACAAACTATGTAAATAAATTATTCATAGTGATTGAAAAAAAGTTGATTGTTGTGCCAATACATTTTGCCTTGATATGTACTTGTTGAAGCTTTCATAAACGATCATTCAGAGTGATTATCCAATTTTTTTGTAATATGTGTCCGCTGTGTAATGAATGTTTATTAAACTACCTCTTAGTATAAGAAATAACAGCCTCAAAAATACTCATTAGCTGATGATACAATTAAAGAAGAGGACGTATGATCTTATTTACCGAAAAAAGTAAAGCTAATTTACTAAGTTAAGATATTTCATATACGTATCTTACTTTTTATAGATCTTCCTTAAATTAGTTTATTTGAGTTTAAACTTATTCATAAGGTTCATAACCACCAAGTTTATGAACATAACCATTTGAATACTTGGTTGAAGAATTTAAAGCAGGCCGTTTATTTGGACTACTTATAAAAATAAAAATAAAACAGGAACCTTGATTACTTCGTAAATATTCTGTGGGTCCCATGGCGGACTTGTTGTTAATGTGTGGAATCTTGGGAGCGAAGACTTGGCATCTCCTTCACCTCTGGACCTCGTTGGAATCCTATAAATGTACTTCTAAACTTCGGAGATAGATTCTCTCTCTATCTCTCTTTGACATTTCAACATTTGTAAAAATACTAATTTACCCTTTATGGTTGTATTCTAAAAAATGACATCAGAGATACTTCATCAAAATTATGAACCCTCGTTTTTTCCCCTCAGAAACAGTTGAGAGAAGAGACAATAAATTTTAAATGATCTTGTTGTAAGCAAATCTGATCTTACCTTTTCAGTTGACAATTTTTTTCTTCATTAACCTTTCGATATTCCGTAAAAGTTGTTAAATATTTTAACTTTTTAAGATGTAGGGCATATTTATCAGAGAAATTCATAAAAATTTCTTAAATAATATTTAATTATAAATAGAAGAGAAAAAAGAAATATATTTTTTCTATAAAAATAAGTCAGAGGAACAGAAAGAGTAAAGAGAGAAAGGAGAGAGAAATCAGCTTTTTTCTTCTCAAGCCAATCGATGTACGCCACATCATCACAAGAAACTGATCCTTAAAATCCTTATTTAGGGATTGTTTCTTTATAAATCAGCTATTTTTGATTTAATTTTGGGCTATTAAATCAAAAAAAACCTATTAAAGATCCTCCAATAAACATGGTCTAACTTTTTAAAATCACCGTAACTAGATTTTTTTTTGTTTCCTCCAATCACTACACTTGTCAAAAGTTATTGGATTATTTTAAACTAAGCTCCGTACCTTAAATTTTACGGTACTGTTCAGTGGGCCTGGTGATGTTGCAAAGAGTTTACTTCTTTTAAAATGATGTTAGACTTTTTGTCTTACATCTTGCATGATTAATAATGCTTGGGATCAATTATAGTATATTTTTTTACAAGGATTATAGTATTATTATTTCCCAGCTGCATATTCCAAAAGTCGTCTAAATTAATTTTCAAATCAACCATCTGAGTGAATCTCTCGAGAGTAGAATAAAAACAAGTTATCCAACCAAAAATAAATAAAAGCAAATTGAATACCATTAAGGTCAAAAATAAACCTGGGTGCACGATTGATATAACAAGATGAATAAAAGTTAAAAAGAAAAAAAATTTCTATAATCTCATACAGTATTACAATTAGATTGACAATGACGTGATATAGACATGAATCAAACCATGGTCAAATCAACATTGGACTATTCTTATTCGACATGAATTGGTCCTTCACCACTGGTTTTAGATACTTTCTTCAAGACATGTTCTTCTCACAGTTAGTATATGGATGGAGCCCGCGAGGCCGGTTTAGTTGCATTCGAGGAATTTTTATGCCGATTTTCTTTGGTTATAAAATTATTGCACATTATAGGGCAATACAGAAAAACTGTGGTTTAGACTTACCAGCTTTACATAGAAAACTGGAAAAGTACATGATCAATTATCTATTAATGCTTTGTATGTTTACGGGGTTCGATGAAACTAATACGGTAATAATGTATGAATCATAATTCATTTCAAGGTGTCATATAGCAATAGAGTTATTATATAGTTCATGTTCAGTGGTTGAGTTTTGTATGTACGTATCTATATGATCTCAAGATGGATAGCGATAGATTTAGAAGATGATTTTTTTTTTGTATGTATTGTGAGCTACACGAATGTTAATTAGAGAATAGGTTGCAATTAGTATTAATTAGACTTTGGATAGCAAATATATATTAATCATATAGTAATAAATGGATAGTTTCAATATTCATACATAGCAATAGATGTTGATCATGTAAGCGATGGTTTTCCTTCAAAATTAATATATAGGATATTCGGGGTAATAAATTCATCGAACATATTATGCATATAGCTGAAAATCTTGGTCGACAAACAAAATGAAAAATTACAATGCGTTAACTTTTCTTGATTTCTTTTTCACTTATGACATCATTCAGATTCTTCAATCGAGTTTCTCATCGATAGCATTGGGTTTCTATCAAATTGAATACTACTGATATGTACATATCACGCTGTACACATAACTTTAGACCATCTACGAAATTAATCAGCTTAATTGGTTTGGGTATTGAAGTGGGCCATAGAGAATATTATAGTCCATAATGACTAATGAGCCTTTAAAGCTCAGCATGTTGAGTTCTCGAGTTCTATATTGGGCTATAAGTATATTGATACAGAAAGTTGGCAGTTCGTGATGATTTAATAGAAAACCAAACATCGGGTTGAAAGGTCATACAGTAATTTTGTCTTTTATCTCTTTCACAAAGTGAAAAAATAAGATCATACTTTTATTTTAATTGTTCACTGAAAAACAAAATCTTAGATATGTTCTTCTAAGATTATATATATAGTTTATTAAAATCGAAACCAATGTTTCACTGTACTTTAAAACACTATAAATCGGACTAATAAAAATATAAGACGATATGTTTGAATTATTTTGCGGCTACCAACTTAATTTTCAATTTTTCATGAACCAAAATAAAGCAACTAAAATATTTAATATCAACATCATAAATCATAAAAAATTAAGAAGTTAATTTTAATATTGAATCATAAAAATTAAGAACTTCAGACAGATCCTTTAATCTAATAGCGTATTTAAGTTTTTTTTTGTTTGCTTTCTTCTTTTTAATTGAACTGAAATATCGAATCGAATCGAATCCAATCCGGGGAGAAAAAGAGCAGAAACTGATTGGATTGTAGAAAAAAATATAGAATTAAAAATTTAATTCTCAGAGCTTTTTAAAAAAAAACAAAATTTTTTTGAAGAAGACGAAAGAAAGTAAAAAAGAGTGGAAGAAGAGGGAAGAAGAGGGAAGAAGAGAGTGGAATGCAAATTGAGTGAATGGAGTTGCAGAGGAAAGTAGCTGAAGCAATTCATGTCTTGAATCACGATCCTGAATCTTCCAACAGAGTTGCCGCCAATCAATGGCTTGTTCAATTCCAGCAAACTCCGGCGGCTTGGGACGTCTCTACTTCTCTCCTCACTTCTCCGATTGTCTCTCTATTCGACCTCCAATTCTTCGCCGCCCAGATTCTCCGTCGAAAGGTCTCGCCTTTCATCTCTCTGTCTCTCCAGAGATTCTATATTTCGACAATCCCAAAAACCCTTTTTTTACCCCCTTTCTTTGTGTTGGTTTCAGATTCAGAACGAAGCATCGAATCTTCAATCAACAGCCAAAGACGCTCTTCTCAACGCCCTTCTTCTAGCTGCCAAGAGATACAGCTCCGGCGTTCCTCAGGTATTGTACCCTTTTAGATTTTCCGGCGATATGAATGATTTTGGGTTATTATGTGTGTGTGATTTGGTCGTGGAATTGGGAATTTCAGCTCTTGACGCAGATATGTCTAGCTCTCTCGGCGCTTCTTCTCCACGCTGATCCTTATTCAAAGCCCTTCGATAAGCTAATGTTCGCACTCCAGAATCTTCAGGCCCACGATGATGGCAATGTCGTCTTGCTCGAGCTTCTCACTGTCCTTCCTGAAGAAATATCTGACACTCGCCATTTTTCTCATCACACTGATCTCCGTCAGGAGGTTGCTCCTTCTCCTCTTTCTCATTTCCTTTCAAAGCTTGTGTTTTTTATTTTCTTTGTTTCTCACTGCTTACCTCGTTTTGTAACAGTTGCTCTCGCATACTTCCATGGTTCTTGATTTCCTACTCCAGCAGTCTGAGAAGCAATTCGCCTCCCCTGTTTACCCGCATGACAACAGCCGCAAAATCCTTCGTTGCTTACTGAGTTGGGTATGTTGCTTGTATTTCATGTAGAATTTTATTGTAGTGGCATTTCCCCGGATTTCATTTTGATGTCTTTCCTTGTTATCACTAGGTCCGTGCTGGATGTTTCTCTGAGATTCCACAAGGCGCCGTGCCTTCACATCCCCTTCTTAACTATGTATTTAATGCGCTGCAGGTGACTTCCCTTAGTGGCGTGGTTATAAATTACTGTCTTTTTTCTCTACCAAGTGCTTTCGATTTCTTTCTTAGGTTTTGATTTCGTTGCTTTCCATAGGGTACTACTTTTGATCTCTCTATTGAGGTACTTGTTGAACTCGTGACTCGGCATGAGGTATGTTTGAAATAATATCAACATATTATCTTATAGTTTAATAGCAATGCTTTTGGATTTCAATAGCTTTTACTTGTTTTCTTCTTGCAGGATCTTCCTCAGGTTTTACTGTACAAAGTACAGTTGCTCAGAGATACACTCCTTAAACCAGCTCTTATAAATGCTGATCAAAAAGTTGTCTCTGGCCTGGCATGCTTGATGTCTGAGATCGGACAGGCTGTGAGTACTAATTCCTTTTTATCCTCTCATGACTGCGCATCCAATGTTGTAACGTTATTACTCTTCACTCTACTTTATTTCTTGCTTTTTGGGAGGCTCATGTCGGTGTGCAATATGTTCTAGGCACCATGCTTGATTGTTGAAGCAAGTTCTGAAGCGCTTATTCTGACTGATGCCCTTTTGAGGTGAATATTCGGCCTTCATTTTTTGCGTTTACTTTTACATCTAGTCTGTATTTTTCCAAATAAACTCACAACATTTAGCATTTTAACCAAAATTCCTTTGTTAAATGCACTCACTCTTCTTCGGTTTACTCTGGCACTATGTAATAAAATTTTATGAAAATGATATTTTTCCAACGTTTTTTTTTTTCACATGAAGACACAAACCCAAAATTGACGTTTTAAACAATTCAGGCCTTAATTTTTACAATCTAAAGTATTCACACAGTTGGTGCAACTTTAACCTGATATGCGTTGCTTTTTCTTCCTCAATGCATTTTTATTCTCCAAATAAGTCTTGTTATTACGGTTGGCATTATTATCTTATACATTACTCTTGTTCACTGTCCATCGTTTACCTTTCCAGCTGTGTGGCATTTCCAAGTGATGACTGGGAGATTGCAGATTCAACTGTACAGTTTTGGTATTATTTGTTTCTATCTTATTTATGCTCCTTTACAACCATATGGACTTTTATATTTTTCTTTCCGAAAGATTTCTGCTGTCTATTCTTTTGAGCTCAATCTTGTTTATTTTCCCTTTCTTTTTGCTAGGTCAACTTTTGCGACATATATACTTAGCCTAGGTGGAAATAGACAGAATGACAGAAATCGTGTGAAAGATATATTTCTTCCAGTTTTCTCAGCTTTAGTTGATGCTCTTGTGCTGCGCGCTCAGGTTACATCTTGGAACTTTCTTACTTAAAAGTCTCTTTCAGTTTTATATGTATAGAAACTATCATATCAGTTGCAGCACCAACTATACGTATGAAAAAAATAAATTCCTATGTATTTGTCTGTTAAGCTGGTCATCATTCCATATTGATATAGTAATTGTTGGGATTGGTCAATTAGTATACGGTTCTCGTGGAAATTTTCATTTCATACTCTTGAATTTCTTAGGCTTGTCACTCATAGTTTCTTGCATCTTGGTCTTAAGTTTCTTCTTTTATCACATTCCACTCCGTATCAACACAATATTGGATGTTTAGTTTGTCATTTTCTGTGTATTCGTAAGCCCACGAATTATTAACAGGCTGCTTTATTTGTTGTACTAATGGTGTTTTTGTGCTTCTAAAATTCCCTAGCAATCTATCCTCAGGTTGATGATTTTACCTCTAGTGATGAGAGTCCAGGGCTTGACTTGCCTGATGGCCTACTGCATTTTAGAAATAATCTTCTTGAGCTCTTGGTAGATATTTGCCAGCTACTTCATCCTACAACATTTGTGAGTAAGGTGTGCCCTCACTTCACATTTCAAATACAAATCGAATTCATTATTTGGGGTACAACTAATCTGTATTATGAAATAGGCAATATTTCCCTAAATTTAACAGTTTCTGGAGTGTGTCATGTTGAAAACAGCTTCTTCGTTCTTATTCCGTATTTTATCAGTTCTTATGGGATCAATTCACTCTTAGTGAACCATGCTCTGTATCATGTTGAGTCTTTTAGATTATTACTTTACTTGGCTCAAACAGAACAACATTGCTCTGATATCTTGGAGTACTTTTATTAGATGGTTGCTAAATAAGTAGTTTTTTCTCTTTCATGTTCTGTGACAAAGTATTCAGTCATATTATTTTGTTATGTGATTTTTAAATTTTCCTTGCCGATATACTTGTAGTTATTTTTTGGTGGCCTGCCTTCTTCAAATGTTTCGATGCCCTTGAGGGAGATTGAGGCTAAGTTGTTTGCTCTTAATGCGGTGAGTACACTTGACCTCTTCACTTCCAATCAAGTTGCTTCATTTTTAAGTTTCTGGTTTCAGAACAACCCCGAGATGGATAGGATCACATTGTATGGGTTCTCTAATGCTAATTGTTTTGTCTCTATTATTGTAATCGTCCATCATCAATTTCTGTTTGGAGATTGGCGATGATATCTTTAAGATTGGCAGTTTCCAGGAGTTGCAAACTTGCAATTTCTATTCTTTATCCTTGTCTTTACTAAAGGATTCTACCGTGTCAGGTTTCTGAAATTATCTTGCAAGAGGGAGAGGCTTTTGATTTTTCATTGATCATGCAATTGGTTTCTGCATTCTCCGTTAGGCCATCCAGCGAACTCAAGGGGTTTATATGTGTTGTATGTCAGTTCATACTCTTGCCTTGTCTTCTGGCTTACTAACAATTTTCTTGTACTGTAAAGGCAATCAACATTTGACAATAATCAACTTTTAGGTATACAGATCACTGGCCGATGTTGTTGGCTCTTATTCAAGATGGATCTCTGTTTTCCCAAGTAATGCCAGACCCTTGCTGTAAGTCTACTTTCGTCTGTTAGGATATGGGTATGTTTATATTTTATAACATCAATTGCTCGAATAATCTAGATGGTGCTTCCAGGTTATTTCTTGCAGGAGGGATTTCTGAACCTATTTCTTCACATGCTTGTGCCTCTGCTCTGCGTAGACTTTGTGAAGATGCCCCAGCTCTATTCCAGGAATCATCAAATTTAGACATCTTAATGTGGATAGGAGAGGTATCAGCTTCATGCCCCCTTTCGTAACTGTTAAAATAAGCTTCAAATTAGACTGGGGCATCTTCACAAAGTTGGAGCAGTGTTTGGTCTACTGAATCATGATGCTTTTACCTCTCTCAGTGTTTGGAGCAGTGGAATTTGGCGTTGGAAGATGAAGACGAAGTCATTAGCGCTATCACTGTAATCCTTGGCTCTGTCGCTAACAAAGAGCTGCAAAATAAATTATTAACGCAATTGCTCTCGTCAAGTTATGGAGTTCTCTCAAAACTTGTAAGCGTTTATATGCTCACTTACAAAGAGTTATTCTTCAGGGTTCTTCATCATTGTACAAGTAACCATGTGTCCATTCTCTGCATTAACGGAAAAAGAATTAGCTAATTGTCCACAGAAAATTCCCTCTGAGATAGAAGTTGGACTAATACCTTTTATGGTTTTAGGTAGATGATGACGTCGAGTCTTCTGGTAGACAGAGTCCAGCCACTTACTCACGTATGTTAAGCTCTGTTACAAGAGGTCTTTACAGGTATGCTTATTGTTTGAATGACTTGTAATTTAAGAGCTTTTGACGGCGTTGGAAATTCAATTCACTAATGAAAACATTGCCATAATTTTGCATTACATATATTTTTTTTCTGGTAACCTGCATTATTAAGTAGTTTTGAAAACTGCGTACCATAATCTTTAGTAGCTTGCACTCTCTGGTAGTTTTCTTATAAGGTATAGAAAGCTTGGTAAGAATATCATATTGACGTCGTTTCTCTTCACTTATTTCATGATTCAGGATTGGAACTGTATTCAGTCACCTTGCGACGTCTCTGTCATCTGTCCCTGTGGCAGATGGTCCAATTCTTTCTTTGTTGACTGTCTTCTGGCCCATTTTGGAGAAGCTTTTTAGGTCTGAACACATGGAGAATGGCAGTTTAGCTGCAGCAGCATGCCGTGCTCTTTCAGTGGCCGTTCAATCGTCAGGTTTCAAACTTCTTATCTCCTTATTCTATTCAGTACATCCATATATTGCAAACCTATACCTTCTAGAGACTGAAAACACTTCTATATTTTCAAGAATCCTTTACCGTAAGAGTCTGACTATGCATATGAATTTGGAGTATTATGGCACCAAATCAAGCGTCTCGATCTTAGTTACTGGACACTTTCACACCTTTAATTTGCTTTATTTACAGGTGAGCACTTTATGCTACTACTACCCAGTGTACTGGACTGTCTATCGAGAAACTTTCTGTCATTTCAAAGCCAAGAATGTTACATAAGAACAGGTGAGACTTCGTTATTCAGGTACTAGCTGCACTGTTGGAAAAAAACCTCTTGGGGTGATAGCTTTGATTCAGTACCCGTGATTTTTATTGGCTAGCTTAGATACATTATACCTGTAGTTAGTTATTGATCACCCAGTTCTCTGAAATTCACCTTTCCACGCACTTGCAATTTCAGCCTGTGTAATCGCTGAAGAATTTTGTCACAAGGAGGAATACGGGTCCTTGTTTATCACTACGTTTGAGAGATTTACTCAAGCATCATCACTGATGGGAATAAATTCGTCATATATATGCGACCAAGAACCTGATTTGGTGGAAGCATATGTGAATTTTGCATCAGCATTAATCCGCGGTTGTCATAAGGTTTTGCAACCACTCCTTTACTCGTTAAAGTTATACTTTTCTATTCATCTTTCAGAAAAAAAGAAAAGAAAAGGTGTAGTAAAGGTTTGGTTCTATTTCTTTTGACGAAACAGGAGTTGTTGGGTACTTCTGGAACACTTCTTGAAATTTCTTTCCACAAAGCGGCTATTTGTTGTACAGCTATGCACCGAGGTGCTGCTTTAGCTGCAATGTCATACTTGTCAGGTACTTGTGCAGTGGAGGGTTTACTAGTGAAAACATGGGATTAATGCATACAAAGACTCTTTTGGTCATAAGCATACTTTACACTACGTTTTTGACATGTACAGGTTTCTTGGAGGTTTCGCTTTCTTCCATGATTGAAACCGTGAATTGCATATCAGAAGGATCATTCAGTGTGGTCTCTGTCCAGGTTGTATCTCACTGTGGAGAGGGACTTTTGTCTAATCTAGTCTATGCTCTACTTGGAGTTGCAGCTATGTCAAGGGTAACTAATTTGAGTGAAATCTCAGACGGTAGTAGATGGAATGGGGATCTTTGATTCACCAATTCGGTTCTGTTTTTGTTTCTAGGTCCATAAGTGTTCCACAATACTTCAACAATTAGCTGCGATCTGCAGTTTATGTGAGAGGACTTCATGGAAAGGAATGTTGTGTTGGAAATCTCTCCAAGGATGGCTAAACTCAGCGGTTTCTCTCTCTCACTCTCTCGTGGTCACATCAAAACGGAACTCCGCCTCTGTTTGGTTCATTCTAATGGCTTTCTTTAATCTTTCTGTTTTCAGGTGTGGGCACTTCCAAGCGAGTATCTGAAGCAGGGAGAAGCAGAAAACATAGTGCGGGAATGGTCAGAAGCTCTGGGAGGAGCAGGGATGGATTACCTTGAGAACAAAAGCTGCAACTTTGGAAACAACAACAGTTCAGGAGGAGGACACATGCAAGGGAAACACGGTCGAGCGTTGAAGCGATTAGTGAGAGATTTTGCGGATTCTCATCGAAACGATCCAAATCTAAACATCATATAAATCATTCCATCCTTTTTCATTTTAATTTGTTGCCTTACTGATGAGGGCAATGCATCTTCTTCTTCTTCTTTTCTGTCAATGCTCTGTTTCTGTTCTGATGTATAGTAGGAGGGGAAAGAACCTCATGAAGAATTTTATAGAGGCATTTCGTTTAGACTTTAGATTGGTAAGAATAATACTACTGTACATCCATTGTTAACATTTTATTTATTTTAAAATTTATGATGCAAACTAAACGGCACGCAGTTTCTCAATGGCTTGGTCTTGTAGGCCTCGGTTAACACAGATGCCTTATTAGGCCGAATTTTGGTTACTGGGCCCTTTGATTGAAGATAAACCCAATTATTTTGCCGGATTTCTGGGAAACGAAATTAATTCGGTTTCCTGCACGTGAGTTTCACGTGATTGGTTTGGGGGTAGAATTTGGGAAAACCCTAGGCGAATCACTTCTGGGAGGAGAGGCCGCCGGAGTCGCTGATAGAGAGAGAAAAGGTACGTTCTTTTTGCTCGATTTCGCTCTCTCTGCATATCGATTAAATCTGTTCTATTGTGTTACCTTTTGATTACAGTTTATTGTAAAGCTTCGATCTTTACTTCAGTAGAAACCTTTCGTAGTGTTTTTTATTATCCCAATTCGGTTTCGTAGTGTTGTATCCGAATTTTCACGCTGTTCAAAGACGACGAGAAGCTTAAATCTTCAGTATTCAGTGTTTCACACTCCGTTTGATTTCTGTTCTTCTGTGTTGTTAGGTCGGTTTTTGATTTCCTGTTCTCCATCTTCGACCTCGAGAGAAGAAAATGGCAGATCAGGAGGCAGATACGAACATCGAGATTTGGAAGATTAAGAAACTAATCAAGGGTCTCGAATCCGCAAGAGGTAATGGAACGAGCATGATCTCTCTTATTATGCCTCCTCGTGATCAGGTCTCTCGTGTCACCAAGATGCTTGGTGATGAATATGGAACTGCTTCAAACATCAAGAGTCGAGTGAATCGTCAATCTGTCTTGTCTGCCATTACTTCTGCTCAACAGAGGTTGAAGCTCTACAACAAGGTCCCCACCAATGGACTTGTTCTCTATACCGGCACAATTGTGAATGATGACGGTAAGGAGAAGAAAGTGACGTTTGATTTCGAGCCCTTTAGGCCGATCAATGCTTCCTTGTACCTCTGTGACAACAAGTTCCATACCGAGGCATTGAACGAGCTTCTAGAGTCTGATGACAAGTTTGGTTTCATCGTCATGGATGGAAACGGGACACTGTTTGGAACTCTGAGTGGGAATACTAGAGAGGTTCTTCACAAGTTTACTGTTGATCTCCCGAAGAAGCACGGAAGAGGAGGACAATCTGCGCTTCGTTTTGCTCGTCTTAGGATGGAGAAGAGACACAACTATGTTAGGAAAACTGCAGAGCTTGCTACACAGTTTTACATCAATCCAGCTACAAGTCAGCCTAATGTCGCTGGTCTGATCCTTGCTGGTTCAGCTGATTTCAAGACTGAGCTCAGCCAGTCAGAGTTGTTTGATCCTCGTCTTCAAGCCAAGATATTGAATGTAGTGGATGTTTCTTACGGAGGCGAAAACGGTTTCAACCAAGCGATTGAGCTGTCTGCTGAGATTCTTTCGAATGTGAAATTCATACAGGAGAAGAAACTGATTGGGAAGTACTTTGAGGAGATAAGTCAAGACACTGGGAAATATGTTTTCGGTGTGGACGATACTCTCAAGGCTCTAGAAATGGGTGCTATCGAGACCCTTATCGTGTGGGAGAATCTGGATATAAACAGGTACGAGCTAAAGAACAGCACGAGCGGAGAAATAGTGGTGAAACACTTTGGGAAAGATCAAGAGACTGATCAAAGCAATTTCCATGATGCAGAGACTAATGCCGAGCTAGAAGTCCAGGACAAGATGCCTCTGCTCGAATGGTTTGCGAATGAGTACAAACGTTTTGGTTGTACTCTTGAATTTGTGACCAACAAATCCCAAGAAGGGTCACAGTTTTGCAGAGGTTTCGGTGGGATCGGTGGTATGCTCCGTTACCAGCTTGATATGAGGACTTTTGATGATTTATCGGATGGTGAACTTTATGAAGATTCTGATTAAAGTGGAAAACTTTTGGTGGTGATGGTTTCAGATCGATACAGTGAGGGAAATGTGGCATAAGATGGTCTTTTATCAAGAAGGGTTTGAACTATAAAAAAGGGAAACAAAGAAGAGAAATTTTAAGTTTTTTTTGTCTTCTATAGAACATTGAAAAGCTTCTCTTTCTTACGCTTTTTTCTTCTCCAACAGTTTTCTGTGTTTTGCTAGACAATTTGTGTTGTAATTGATCCTACTTTGAGGATTCTGAACATCTTTGGTTCCTAGTTTCTGTTTTCTTTTTTTCAGAGATAATCTATTGGTGAAGACGATCGATTATCCCAAATTTATCTGTTGTTTCAAACGGCGTCGTTTATTATTACCCTTTTTGTAATCTGAATTAATTAATATATCGGTACTAATTTAGGAAGATTTATCCATTTCTCTGAGTGAGAGGGAGAGTGATAGAAGCGAAGTTTCTAGGGTTTCTTCTGATCGGAAACGATCAGATTTGAAGCAACGATGGGCACGAGCAGCGATCCGATCCAAGATGGTTCCGATGAGCAGCAGAAACGATCAGAGATCTACACATACGAAGCGCCATGGCACATCTACGCAATGAATTGGAGCGTTCGTCGCGATAAGAAGTACCGTCTCGCCATCACAAGCCTGCTCGAGCAGTACCCGAACCGAGTCGAGATTGTGCAGCTCGATGAATCCAATGGCGAGATCCGTTCAGACCCTAATCTCTCCTTCGAGCATCCTTACCCACCCACCAAGACCATTTTCATCCCTGACAAGGAATGCCAGCGACCCGATCTTCTCGCTACCTCAAGCGATTTCCTTCGTCTATGGCGTATCGCCGACGATCAATCCCGCGTGGAGCTCAAATCTTGTCTCAATAGCAACAAGAACAGCGAGTTCTGTGGTCCTTTGACTTCCTTCGATTGGAACGAAGCTGAGCCACGCCGAATCGGAACATCGAGCACCGATACGACTTGTACAATCTGGGACATCGAGCGTGAAGCTGTTGATACTCAGCTTATAGCACATGACAAGGAAGTCTTCGACATTGCTTGGGGTGGAGTTGGCGTCTTCGCCTCCGTCTCAGCTGATGGCTCCGTGAGGGTATTTGATCTTCGTGATAAGGAACATTCGACGATTATCTACGAGAGCTCTGAGCCAGACACTCCTTTGGTGCGTCTTGGTTGGAACAAGCAGGATCCAAGGTATATGGCTACCATTATCATGGACAGTGCTAAAGTCGTGGTGCTCGACATTCGTTTTCCAGCTCTTCCGGTGGTTGAGCTTCAGCGACATCAAGCTAGTGTCAATGCCATAGCTTGGGCTCCTCATAGCTCTTGCCACATCTGTACTGCAGGAGACGATTCACAAGCTTTGATTTGGGATATTTCTTCCATGGGACAGCAAATTGAAGGTGGTCTTGACCCTATTCTTGCTTACACAGCTGGTGCTGAGATTGAGCAGCTGCAATGGTCTTCTTCTCAGCCTGATTGGGTCGCTATTGCTTTCTCAACGAAGCTGCAAATTCTCAGGGTTTGATCTTTCTTTCTGTAGTTTCTGATCTTTTGTCACGTTAGGTTACCACATTTTCTATCGTATTAAGAGGTCTGCTCTCTAATGTTACTATCTTCAAGATGTAAAGCTTGCACTGACTGTTAAATGAATATGCTTGATCTCTTTACTATCCTCGATATGCAAAAGCTTCCACCGACTCTTATTGATGTATGGTTGATAAGAAAGTTTGATCCTTTAATCTTGACTTTTGCTTCATCACTTCTCTCTTGGCACAATCTTTTCAGTCTTATTCCATAAGAAGTGTGTACCTCTGTATTGTATAGCTAGGTTTAGTTTTGTATTTGATTCAGAGCAACGGAAAGCTAAAGTTAAACTACACATCTCATTTCCTAAAATTCTTGTCTTTGAATATGCGCAAAAATTTACAGAAGACAAGTCTCACTTAGACCTGCAAGTAGGCTTTTATGAAACCTTAACCTCAGTGTTTAAACATCAGCTACAATATTGTCAAGTATATATACATTTCAACTAATTGATCGCCGTACTAAAAGATCAATCTGGGTGGTGATATTGATGCACTGCTTAAAAATGGGACTAATTGGAGGCTAGATTCTCCTGATACGTAAGTTTTATTTCATCGTTTTGATTCCCGCGGCTTAAACTGAGTTTCTGTGATGGGATTGATCATCATCTTGATCAAAGGCTTAGTACGGTTGGCACTTTGTGGTATTTTATGTAAAATACTGAGGTGTATCTTGTAAATGGCTTCAGATTATGTGAAGGTATCTGTGATTTTTATCTGCAGCAAAGAGATGTCAGAGAAAATATCGTTTTGACTTTTCAATGGTCCTAAGAAGGTATGTCGCAAGATGAGTACAAAACATCTGTTGTGCAAATGTGACCACATGATGGAGAAGCCCACTTGTGAAGCCCAAGTGAGAAGAAAAGATCAGTTGAATCAATAGAAAACGTGAAGAGGGAAGAGAGTGATAAACCACAACCATACAAACGAATGACAAAGCTATCCAGAATCTCATCTTCTTTGATTCCAACTCAGCAATTCTCTTTCCTATATTACTAATCTCTGCTTCAACATTGCTTTCTGTCCTCTTTTCTCTGCTGCTACATTATACACTGCTTCTCTCTGGTAGCCATGGCTTCGGCTACTTTCTCTGTGGCCAAACCATCTCTTCAGGTTTTTTTTTTTTCATCTTCCTTCCTCATTATCTTACGGCCCCTTCACAAGTTTTTATCATATCATCTGATTTTCTCTCATGTTTTGCTTTTCAGGGTTTCACTGAGTTCTCAGGACTCCGAAACTCCTCTGCTCTTCCCTTTGCCAAGAAATCTTCCTCCGATGAGTTTGTTTCCTTCGTCTCTTTCCAGACTTCTGCTGTGAGTTCCTTTTTCCACCATTCCTCTCTAGAAACTCAAGAGCTCTCTCTTGTGTCTAATTCATCCACCATTGTATATCTATTTATCACGTGAACAAGCCATGCCATGATCAGCCATGACTGCGTTTTTTTTTCTTCTTCCTGTTTTGTGTTGTAGATGGGAAGCAATGGTGGATACAGGAAAGGAGTGACCGAGGCCAAGCTTAAGGTAGCCATCAATGGTTTCGGTAGGATTGGGAGGAACTTCTTGAGGTGTTGGCATGGCCGCAAAGACTCTCCTCTTGATGTCATTGCCATTAACGACACTGGTGGTGTCAAACAAGCATCGCATCTCCTCAAATACGACTCAACTCTTGGAATCTTCGACGCTGACGTCAAACCTTCTGGAGACTCTGCTCTCTCTGTTGATGGAAAGATCATCAAGATTGTATCTGATCGGAACCCATCTAATCTCCCCTGGGGGTAAGCTGAAGAAACACTTCCCATATCCTTATCAACCCGAGTATAAATCTTAATCTTTGCTGAACGTTTTGGAAAAAAATTTGGTGATGATGATGTATAGGGAATTAGGCATTGACTTGGTCATCGAAGGAACCGGAGTGTTTGTGGACAGAGAAGGTGCTGGAAAGCACATTCAGGCTGGAGCCAAGAAGGTTCTGATTACTGCACCTGGAAAAGGCGATATCCCAACTTATGTTTGTGGTGTCAATGCTGAGCTTTACAGTCATGAAGATACAATCATCAGCAATGCTTCTTGTACTACTAACTGTCTTGCTCCATTCGTCAAGGTTCTTGACCAGAAATTCGGTAAACTTCTCATACAATCTTGATAGTGTTGGAAATACAGATAATTAGCCTATAATGATGATTTCATGATAGTAACGAAAAGACTAAACTTTAGTTAATTTTATACGAAACATCACTTTGGATTAGTGGAAGCCTTGGGGTACTTCGAGTTAATCCTTCTTGGTTGTTTCTAATTGTGTGAACTCGGAGATGAATCGGTTTTTGTGTGTTTGTTAACATGGTAGGGATCATAAAGGGTACAATGACAACTACTCACTCATACACTGGTGACCAAAGGTTGTTGGATGCGAGCCACCGTGATCTAAGGAGAGCAAGAGCAGCGGCTCTAAACATTGTTCCAACATCTACTGGAGCAGCTAAAGCCGTGGCTCTCGTGCTCCCTAACCTCAAAGGAAAACTCAATGGAATCGCATTGCGTGTGCCAACTCCTAACGTCTCAGTGGTTGACTTAGTCGTGCAGGTCTCCAAGAAGACTTTTGCTGAAGAAGTCAATGCTGCTTTCAGAGATGCAGCTGAGAAAGAGCTTAAGGGAATACTCGATGTCTGCGATGAGCCTCTTGTCTCTGTTGACTTCAGGTGCTCTGATGTATCCTCGACCATCGATTCTTCTCTCACAATGGTTATGGGAGATGATATGGTTAAAGTGATTGCTTGGTATGATAATGAATGGGGTTACTCGCAGAGAGTTGTTGATTTGGCTGACATTGTTGCCAATAACTGGAAGTGAGGACTCAACTATTGATGTCTGCTCCATTTTTTTTTTTTACTGTTATATGATTCGGAATGTATAATTGTAGTTCCCGAGTTTATGTATTTGTGCTCTACAATTTATAGTAATAAACTTGATTCAAACATGCTACATCCTCTGATTTGGGGATGTCTTCTGACACTAAGGAGAAGATACAATAATTTTTTATATAACATACGAGAAAGATTTGTAATACAAATTATAAATCTCATGGGAGAAGCAAAAGAGCCAACAAAGCAAAAGATTGAAAGGTGATAATAGTCGATTCGAATCAGATGTAAGATAAAGAAGAAGAAGACTCAGTAACCTGAGGAAAATCTCCATTAACATCGTCGAGAAGAGAAGTGGGCATGTTGCTTAACAAGAAGTCATACTCAAAGCAATAAGGATCAACGCTGAGAACAGAACCAGCCTTCGTATGGTCTGCATCGCCGTATTCACCAATGTTGTCCTGAAGACCAAATAAACTGCTTGAAATATCATTGGGAAAAGAAGGTAAAGAGACCTCTTTTTTTTTACCAACATGATCATCATCATAACAATCTAAGAAAGCGTTAGTGAGATTAGCAGAAAACTGTTGTTCTTGCCAAAAAGAGGGGATCGGACCAGCAACATAATGGTTGTTTTCTGGTGGCTGATCTTGAAGAAAACGGAAACTAGAAGATCCCAAACTCATATCAGGTCCCATAGACACGAAGGGGTTAACAAAATCTTTGTCTGAAGATGACTGTAATAACTGTTGTGGTTGTCTTTGCAAAGAGATGTTTTCAGTGTAGAAGAAGTTGGTTTTAGCTAGAGATCCGCTGATGGATCGAGCAGCTACATCATAAGCGAAAGCAGCTTCTTCGGCTGTATCGAATGTTCCAAGCCAGTGTCTTTCTTTTGTGAAAGGGTTTCTGATTTCAGCTGCATATCTTCCCCATGGACGCCTCCTAACTCCAAGGTACTTCACTTCTTGTGACTTCTTCTCTTGTTTGCTTTTGCTCTTGTTTCTTGATTTCAACATGTTTCACAACATTCAGAGATCAATGCTTCTCTCTCTAAGTGTCTCTGTGGATCTTTAGCCTGCTATTTTCTATATATAGTGAGAGAATAGCAAAAGATTGTGTGAACTTGGTTGATGCCTTTTTGGCTTTTGGCATTAAATTCAAGGAATTAGTTGGAAGTTACAAGAATTTAACTCCAAAGTCTTACATCTCCTTCGTAAAACGTGTCAGTAGGAACAAGAAAGTGTTTCACATTGTCTCCATTTTTGTCCTTTTGCTTACTATTTTCCACACTTTAGCTACATGGTCTCTGCGATTATTCACCTTGTGTCATTGCATTGCATTACAACTACATTACATATAACCAAAGAATAAACCAAGTCTTTAAAGAATGTATGGAGCCAAGCCAAGTGGTGACAAGGACATTCATTGTCATTTTAGATTAAGACAAAAGCTGTTCAAATGTCAAGAAGCCTAACTAAACTTTCAATGGGAGAACATGTGACATATGCTTAGGGATTTGGATTTTAAGGGTAATTCAGTTGATTTTATAGTCAATCCTCAAGCATTGAAGTGTGTGTGATTAGTTGATTTCTCTTTTGTGTCTTTTTGTCTTCTTGCATTTGGTGTCCAAATTGCATACCTAAATACAAATGTATCTTTATCACTTAAAACAGACAAAGCTATCAGAATTAAAGACAGATTAGAGATGATCTTGTATCATATGTGTCTGAAGTCATTTTGCTTCTCATGTCTCAACTTGTTTACATTAGTAGGATAAGCTTTTCAATTAAATCCAAAAGCTAAAAAGATATTAAATAAGCTAATTAACTACAAAACAGTACCAAGGATCTATTTGACACTCCTCTAGCTTTGGAGAATCCTGCACTGTCCCTTCCTCTGTTCTCAATTTTCCTTCTTCTTCCATTACTCTCAAAAACTCTTCAAGTGCTCTCTGCATCCACTCATACCGACACAGCTCCAATGCTTCTTTAACATTCAACTGCATAGTTACATGTAATCCCTTTTTTTTTTTAAAAAAAAAGTCATCGGTCATTTGATAATATATACTATAATGTTTTGAGATTTTATTACCCATTTCCTCTCGCGATTCTCTCGTTCTGGCCAATCCTCGAGCTCTTCGGTTACCTCTAATGCAAACATATATCCTTTGCATCCACCAAAACATTCATCCTCCAAGCTGCTACTTTTGCTTCTAAATTCCCAAACTCCTAATGAAACTTCCTGAAACAAATAACCCAAAACACATCTTCTAATCTAACAAACGTTCTCAAAGTTATTGTTCTAGACAGCTAAAAACTTACTCTAAGTATTCCTTTAACTCCTGCTTCTTCCATGGCCTCACGAGAAGCAGCTTCAAGAACAGTCTCATCATCTTCCCATCCTCCCTAACAAAAAAATTACACAAAAAAAATGAGTTTTCAAAAAGTGGGCAACTGCAAAAAGACAGTAAAGAGGGAGATTTATCAAAAGAAATCACAAAAGAAATAAAGAACCTTAGGGAAGACAAGATCATGTCGATTAGGAGATGAAACCATAAGAACTTCAAGCTTGTTTACAAAGTCAGCACTTGTGTCTTCTTCAGTTTCCACATCTTTAATCAGTCTATACGGAATGCATCTGTGTATATGTGTAGCGAACACTAAGAAATCAACAATTTTCTTTTCTGATTTAGGTGTTTTGTGGGTGTGGAAATTTCGACATTTGCAAAATTTGGTAATCATAAAGAGAGAAAAAAAAACAGGATCTTTTTGGTTACCCAGAAACGAGACGGAAGTTGTTGTCGTAACGTTGACGATCTCGTCCTGTCCGAGATGAAAGAACCGACATTGATGAATCTGCGAGAAAAATATTTCGACACAAAAACAAAGAAACAGAGAATCGAGAGATTGCGTCTGCTACGTTCTTGAAATGCCCTCTTCTGGTTTAGTAAGAAACATGATCATGGCGAATCATCTTCATCTTTGAAAATAATTTCGTTTCTGTTTTCCAGAATTAAAGAATTCACGAGAGACAATCTCAAAATCACAGAAGAATGGGAAAAAAAAATGTTTTTGTTTTTCCTTTTAATTTATTCCTATTTTTGCGGAGAAGAATGAGGAGTAGACCAACGAGCATTCATTGCTTTGTAACCATCAACTGTCTCTATATAATCAATTTATAAATTTCTGAAAAAGAAGAAGAAGTTAATTTTGTTAATTCTTGACCTTGCGCTCGAAGATGCTGAAGAACCATAAAAACACACAATTTCGAAGTAAGTCACTAACGAATCTGATTCCGCATTTGACTTATTACACAGTTTTATCTCATGAGTATTCTCCACTAATGAGAATGATTCGATAACTGATGCTTCGAAAACTTATCTTGTGATGTGTTTCGAAGAAGACCATTGAAACCGAATTAGTGTATTTTCAATCCGTTTCGACCTTAATCTTTATTTTTGTCAAATACTTAAGCTAACTTGTTTTTTTTTTGAAAAAAAAAAAATCGGCTTTTGTGTGTGTGTGTGTGTTTTGTAAGATATATAATGTAAAAGCAAACTGAAAATTTAGCTCAGATTACATTAGACCTATTCACCGTAAAGGCAAATCCAAGATACAAAGGAAATATTCCATTTAGTATTTAGGATAGTTAACATAAACAGTATCTACCAGAAATTGTTTATTGTGTTATAGAGTATATTGCGTCGGATAATACGTTTCCTATTCCCTAATCCATGTGCGTAAAGGAACTGTAATTACCAAACCCCTATTGTACACATTATAGGTTAGAATTTGCGGCTTAAGTGTGTTCATAAAAAGAGAAGCAACTTATTCATATCAGAGAAGACGTCAACTATGGAAGGGAATGCATCATCATCACAAAGAAAAGAAGAAGGAATAAGAAGAGTTAAGGAAACTGTCATAATACGTTTTAGATTCTATTTAGGATAGTCAAAATATCTACAATAACAAATTGTTATAGACTAATTAAATTGTGTGGGATAATAATACGTTCCCTCTTCCTCCTAATCCATGTGAATTAAGGAAACTGTGATTAACTAAATCCCTAGTGTCTCTCCTTATATATGTCGTATACTTTTTGACACCAAAGAATTTGCGGTTTAGCCATTTAGGCGTGTAAAAGAAAGAGAGGCAACTAAGTCATATAAGAGAAGAAGAAGAAGAAGAAGAAGAAGAAGAAGAAGAAGAAAGAAGTCAACAATGGAAGGGATTGCTCCATCATCACTATCAAACGACGTGGTAGAAGAAATCTTCTCAAGACTTCCCGTGAAAACCCTAATACGATTCAAGCCTCTCTCAAAACAATGGAGATCGACGATCGAGTCCCAAAGTTTCGCAGAGATACACTTGAAGATCGCCGAGCGATCCCACGTGAATCATCCCAAAGTCATGGTCTTCTTCTCCAACCCATCATGCACAGGAAACATCATACCAATCACAGAAAACACAAAGATTGGTTTTAAGACAATTTGCTCAGAATCGGGTTCTCTTTTATCCTTTACTTCTCTCTGAATTTTCCTCTAGCGTTCTTCACCTGGTCCTGTTATTCTCAAAGCTGCGACGGCCTCTTCTGCATCCAAACCTCAGAATGTACATATGTAGTTAATGCAGCCACTCGTTGGTTTAGACAACTTCCTCTGGCTAGGTTTCAGATTTTGAATGCCAAGCGTTGGTTGCAATCAGTCCCTTCTGCAGCATTCGTGAAGACTGCTGATTACAAATTAGTGTGTCTCAAATTAGTCCCTTTTACATTATAACTCCTTCAGTCCAAACATGAGAGTTACAGTCACAGAGTGTGAGGTTTTTGATTTTAGGGCAAACGCTTGGAGACACTGGACTTGCACTCCAAGTTATCGACTATTAGGTGGGGAAAGGCCGGCATCTGCTAACGGGTCGGTTTATTGGTTTGTAGAACCGTCTATCATCGAAATCAAAGTAATAGCTTTCGATATTCATACCGAAAAATTCCGGTTGCTGACTAAGATTCATCCCCTTATTTCTAGTTTAGACTGTTATCACATGTGCAATCTGGATAATCGTTTGTGTTTGTCCACAACGCGCAAAACAAAAGACACAGAGATTTGGAGACTGAATTCATCAGAAGACACGTGGGAGAAGATTTATACCATAGATTTTATTTCTTCTCCCCTCTCTTGGGTTAACGATGGGTTTTCTTGGAAAGTGGTGGCAATATGCAAGAACAAGAAGATATTGCTCTCATCACATCGCGGTTCTGGCAATCTGGTAATATACGATCCCCTAACAAAATCTGTCCGCTTATCCTGTACGCATTCACATATGAAATATGAACCTTATTTTCAAAGTCTGATCTCTCATATATAGATTGCTTTCTTACTTTCTTTGATCGATGTATCTTGAAGCATGTACAGATAGCATTATTTTTTTTTTTTATTCCATTATGTTTGTGTTCAACAAGAATGAAGCTACACAGTACAGTGCTTATAAAAATTTTAAACATCGAAATCTAAGACCAAGCTCAAACATTTTTCGGAGCATATGAATTCATATCTGTTATGAAAAAATAATAAAACAGAGCTTTTGCCTATGAATTGCAGTTCTTGATCGCTAAAACAAATTCTTGAGCATAGCTTTAAGAACAGAATGACATTTGGTATTTTTCTAAAGGTTTGAAGTTATGTACAAAAACATATGTTACTCAAAGCTACAATCAAACAATTATCATCTAAACACACATGATTCAATCGATGAAACTAAGTAAGAAAATGCTTAGATCTAGCTCTGTTCCACACATATGCTTCCTTCTCTGTTGAAAAAGAACTGGAATCAAATAAAACGGGCGTACCCTTGATGGAGGCTTGGCTCACGGTGACTTGACCATATTAAACATGTTAGTCAGAAGCGGAACAGATCAGCTGGTAAGTGTTTTGTTTTCAGATTGGTCTGATATGCTCACTCGATTAGTGACCATTGGGAAATGTGTTCACTCAGGTACTAATTGATTTCGGCTTGAGTTTCACATCGACCTTGCCTGAAGACAAAGCTGTTGACTTATATGTACTTGAAAGAGCCTTACTCTAAATGCATTCTTCATGCGGGAATGTGGTAAGAGTGATCCATACCATAAATTCACTAATTTAGCTTGCTATATCAACAAAATGGTGTACACCATTGGAACCTCATAATTCTCATTTAGAGTCAATACACCATAAATTATCTAACACATAATTCTCTCCAGGTTTTATTAATAATAAGATAAGGGTCGATGCCCACATATATAAAATACAAACACACATTACCTTTGCGGCTCTGATGATCACGCGTTTCCCTCTGCATTCTCCTTCTTTTTCGCTTCCAAATCTTGAAACGCCTTAGCAATGGCTGCAACCTCAGCAGGCAGAGGTGGCTGCTCCCCTGTTTGCAACTTGCTAAAGGCCTTAGCAATGGCTGTAGCTTTACCAGCCAAAACGGCCTCCTTCTCAGCTTGAAGCTCGCTTATCATCCTAGCAACCAATCGGGCCTCGGCAGAAATAATGGGCGCATAGTAGACAGGGTTATCAAACTTACAAGTCTTGAAATTCATTCTGGCCTCGCTGCATTTCGGTGCGTTGTTACTCTCTTCTTCTTCTCCGGCTTCATCTTCCACGCACTTCTCAACTTTAATTTGCCTTCGCCAATTTCACATAATTTTTTTAAATAGATGTCTAATTCTCCAGTATATCCTCATATTAATCAGTTTTGAAGATAAATTTTTTTAATTTACCAAAGTTTTTTTAAACTTAGGTCCTTTTTATTATTATCCGACCATAGACACTGGTTTTTGGATATGTTTATCTCGTCAGTAGCTACAAAACTATTTTCCTTCCGTCAATACAGACTGATTCACCGGTGTAAATATATAAAACCAAAAGCAAATTAAAGTGTCATCAAGAAGGAAAATGAAAAGGAGTTCAGCATTAGAGAAGTCTTTATAAGAAAAGAAGAAGAAGGGACAAAAAAAGCGAGGAATGAAAAGAGAAAATAGTGTTGCCAATAAAGCCCTAGTTTGGTGCCTTGTATTGCAAGTCATCATATTTCAAGGGAACTCGATTGAAGTGGGAGACGTGTCTTTCACGCTAATGATGAAGAACGAAATGTACGGCTTAAAACGACCACTGGTTGTCTACCGGTGCAGATAAAAATGTCTACTTCTACCCTTATGCGACAGCATGTGTATACCAAGGAGCGGGAATGTATTGCAAGAACAAGAATATATTGCTCTTCTATCGCTTTGCCAGCAACCTGCTAAAATTCGATCCCCAGACAACAGCGGGAATGTATTGCAAGAACAAGAATATATTGCTCCTTATGTTCAAACTTCGAAAGTTTATCTCATATATATAGAATGGAAGCATGTACTTGGAAGCATGTAAAAAACAGAGCATTTCTTGTAGTTTTTTTCTTTTTCGGTTACATGATCCATTATCTATGTATCTAACTGGAACGAGGCATCAAAATACAAAACAAAGCTCAAACGTTTACGGAGAAAATATGAATTTTACATAAATAGCTTTTGCCCTATCAAATGCACTTGTTCATCCGTTGATTATGAAAAAAAAAAAAAATTGAGCACAGCTTTGAGAAACAATGACATTTAATATTTTGCTAAGGTTGCAGTTATGCACCCAAACACATGTTTTTTTTTCAAAGCTACTAAAACAAAAATTCATCAGCAAGACATAATTAAGATTAATGAAACTAAGTAAGAAAATTGCTGAGTAAAAAGAAAAGGGATTAGATCTATATAAGCTCTGTTCCACACATATGCTTTCCCTCTGTTTCCGCAAACGAAGTGGGAATCAAAGCAAACCGGCGTAACCTGCTGTGTCTAAAAGCACTGCTTTGATTTGTTCAGGCATCATGTCGTGGCCTTCTTGGCATTGCTGATTAGAAAACAAAACTAAACTAGTAAATCATTCTCTCATAATACTATATATAAGTGATCAATACATAATAATCTAATTACTTATATATTACCTCAGCGTGGAAAACATCCAAAGCAAAACCGTTGAAACAGCTAATCACGGCTTGTTGAACATCCAATCCTAAGTTGTCTAAAGCTCTCATGGTGGAAAGTAAAAGACCTGGTCTACGTCCACAGAACATGTGAATGTTCACTGCTTTTCCTTCTCTTAATCTAACCTCAACCTGCGAAATAAAGAAACACCCCCCAAAGCCTTCTTACTAAGCAAATGATATAATCCGGGTTTTGTCCACAAAGGAGCTTATTCTTACTCTTGCTTGCTGGCCTTTAGGACTTGGCAAGGAGGAGGATGGACATAACTCTTCCTTAACACGGTAAGATAGCGTTTGTGGGGTCGGTGTTAACGGGTGCAAGCCTGAAGAACTCGGTGGAGTAGATTCGAGTTCGGTATGAAGATCGTTGATTCTCTGTAAGAGCTCTTTGAGATAATCAATGGCATCACCAAGTATAGATGCTCTATCCATCTGCATTCAAAATCCACAAAAACCTCACAAGAATCTGCATCACATCTTTAGGAGAAGAAAGAATCAAAAAAAGGAAGAATCTTTTAGTTTTGTTTTTCTTACTTTGCTGATTTTGGGAACAACTGATCTAAGCATGTAAAGCCTATCATTAAGCTTCTTTCTTCTTCTTCTCTCAGCCATCAAGTTCTTAGCAGGCATTCCTTTCTTCTTGCCTTTGTTATGCTCATCAGATTCGTAATTCAACCCAGAGATGTCGATGATTCCAGTACCAGTGTCGTCGACCTCTCTCTCGTAGCTCGATCTCCTCATCTCAGAAGAACTCTCTGAATTGCACAATTTGCTACTCGAGCTCTGACGCATTGCAGCTCGTTTCTGGAACAGTGTCGGCTGCGAGCCTGATGAAGCCAATACCTCTAAGGGTTTCAGAACCTTAGCTCTGTTCTCGAAAACGCCATTCGCGACTCCTTCGAATTCCAGAGGACTGAATCCATTACCTCCGGTGATGTTTCCCGGCGGAGGAATCGGCCGGGAAGAGAGGAATTCCGGCCGTGAACTCATACCAGCGAAATTCATCGAGATTGGAGTCTGATTCCCATGGATTTGTCCTAAAAACCCAGAATCGAAGCCGAATTCATCAAAAGGATTGTTGTTGTTGTTGTTGCTGCTGGTGGGGACGCTGAGGAGAGAAGCGATGCAAGCTTTTGTAGCTAAGAAAGACTGTTGTTGTTGTGAAGCAGCGTCGAGTGTGAAGGGAGGTTGCAACGGAGAAGAAGAGGAATCAATCGATTGCTGAAGAAGGAGAAGCAGATTCTCTGAAGGATTTAACGGGAACCCACCATTGAATCTGAAGTCATTTTGGTTGCTATGGAGGAGGATTTGAGAATCGTGTGGATTTGGTGGTGGTTGTGGGTTATTGAACCAGTTTTCTTCTGGGTTTCTGACCCACGACGCAGATTCATCGTTATCTCCGCCGTCGTTTGCCGCAGGAGACCGTTGTCCGGCGCCGTCGAGCCAAACTCCGTCGCCGTTCATAGCTCTTTCACTGAAAAAAGTTGCAAACTTTGGAGAAGGTGGGAAAATGAAACCTCAAAAGCAGACAAGGCGAGAGAAACGGAGAGATATAATACTATGAATAATTTGCAGAGACTTTTCTAAAAAGGAGGCGTTAAAGTGGAATCACGAGGATCTTATGAGGAGAGAAAGGCCAAATCTAAGAAGAAAGATAGAGATAGACAAAAAAAAGAGACTAGGATAAAGAGAAAATCAGAGCTCAAAACCCTAAAAGCTAAGGTCTTTGAGGATTCAATTTCTTTAAGACTTGCCACTGATTCTCGTGACTATCTTTGCTTTCCGTCTCTCACCTCCACTTCATATTTGCCACCTCTCTGTCTTCTTTTTCTGCGGAATTAGTTCAGAGTGAGAGAGTGTAAAAAAAATCCAAGGAAGATGATTACCAAAGGCTAATTCCGACCATTTGTTTATTAAGTTTTACCTTTTTTGGATGTTTAACTTTTATAGGATTACTTATTAGTTATTACATTAATTTACCAGAGATAAATTAGCGATTAATTCAAAAAAGTGTTGACATTTGTAATTTGGTTGACTTTATAAATTTGAAAATACATGTAGCTATGAAAATGGTCATAATAGAAATTCATCTTGTATTTGCCTTTTGGATATTAAGCTATAAATTTGACATGAATAAGTAATTATTCTTGAATCAATTTTCGACACCAAAAAAAAAAGAAAATATTTCGAGATTAATTCGGATCAAAGTTGTCGGATGAAATGGTCCCTTTTTTTAATAACAACGAGGCCATGGTCCCTTTTTCATCTTCCTTTACCTCCACTCATTTAAAGAAAAAAATATACCCTCAAAACAACACAAGTTTTCACAATGCTCATTCCTTTTTCTTATGAGCATGCAGTCATATAATCCGATTTTGTAAATTGTAAGTATCGCAAATACCATCAGTTTTTACGTGTATAAAACATGTCCATTCATTTTATCATGAATCATTCTACAGTAGGATTATTTGATTTTGGATTCATTAACAGTTATGGTTTATCTACAGCATGAGTTTACTTCTGGTAAAGATAAAAACATTGTTCTTTAACAACATAAAAAAGAAAAGATAAATATATGTTCTTTAACAACATAAAAAGAGATAAAGATATTGTTAGATTAAATTTTGTTGTTATGTTTGTTATTTCAGTGATTGTTTTATTGGGAATTGTTTTGTTATTTTTTCTATGTAAAACTGAAGAAAATAAATATATAATAAGGGAGTCATAAGAAACTATGATTTTCTTATACCAAATTAGCTATTCTATATTCTCTAAAGTTACCAAAATAATCTAAAACGAAACCTTAATTAAACTCTATAAAAACTAAACCTTAAAACAGCAAGTCATATACTCTTCTAAATTACTCTAGACCATAAAGACTAAACTTTAAGAATGATAAAAAAGATTAATATATTTTAGTTATATTTTTATATCGGTGGAAAAGATGCATGTATGTTTATCTATTCTTGATTTTTACTATTTACTAAAAATATATATTCCATAAGTATGTAAACTAATGTTTCTCAACGAAAACAAAAAATATTTTCAAAATTAGTACATAAACAAATCTTTTTTTAAATTTCTATCAATTTAAATCTCTGATATTGCTTTGGTTTCATCAATCATTTTTATTTTTTTACTCGGTAAAAATAATTTATGAATCTACCACTACTCACCCACAATTTTCTACATTATAGATAACGCTAACATCAATTTTATATAAAGCATTGATAAAGAGACATCAGTTCTGACACGCAATAGAAATCAAGAAAATCACCGAGGAGGTTAGGATTTTTGAATCAAAAGTATAGAAGAACCTCGTTGACCTTCATGTGGACAACAATTTTACAAAGGGAAAAATAACAACAAATTCTTGCCACGCAAGAAACTCTGAAAACCTCCCTACTCCTTTTGTCTATTTTTCTCTTTTATTTTCTTTTTCTTGTTTTTTGGTGTACGTTTTTTCTTCCTTCATTTACTATTTGTTTACTCTTTCATCATCAGTTGGGATTCATGTTCACTTGTTCAGGGACCATCGTTTCAAACTCAAAAATGGTCTTTTTGTTGTTCAAAGTGCTCGGACCATGAAAGAATCTCAAATACCAAAATGTTTTTTGCTACTTTTTTTTCTTTCAAAATTTTGTCAAAAAATACTTTTCTTTCAAATTCAAAAATATTTTTGCAAAAATGGAAAAATGTGAGTCAGGCCCAATATTTGTGTAACGTTTGGGCCGTGTATTAGAGAGGTTTTCGACTCCCATCATCAGATCTGAAAAATGGGTTTCGCTGTATATCCGATTAAGCTGGCTGCTGCATTTTCCGAGCACTTTGAACAAAAAAAAGACGATGGGGTCGTCACAGTCTACGCAGGTACTCGATGAAGAAGAAGATGAAGAAGCAGGAAGCGAAGGTGAAGAAGAAGAGGAAGTTGTTAATGGCGGATTGAACAGAAGAACAGAGCTGGATAATCTCTTGGTCAAGAAGGTTCTCGAGCAAGAGCCTGAGATGCTACCTTGTCACGCCTCTGCCTCTCCACTCTCTCCTCAGCTCTCGTCCCTTGGAACGCCTCGAATCGGACCATCAATCAAAGTCTGGGACCCTTACAACGTCCTGGCGCCACCTCCTCCGCCTCTCTTCTCCCGTCTCTCCTCCACGGGGGAGCACGACCGCGCCGCCGTGACAGAGGTCTATTTCATCAGCCACGGAGAATGCGATCTCAACCTCAGGCCTGATCTGATTGGAGGCAAGTGTCAATTGGCCGCTCTCACCCCTAATGGAAAACGCCAGGCGAGGGCGCTCGCCGTGTTCTTAAATTCCGAAGGGGTTCGATTCACCTCCGTCTTCTCTTCACCTCTGGATCGAGCTAGATCCATGGCCGTCTCCGTTTGCCAGGTATATTATATTATTATCCTTCACGGTTTCTACTCTTGGATTTCTCAGTTTTAGATCTAAAGCCTAAAGGCTGTGTCACTGTGTGTATCGTTTTGAATTGGAGACCAGTTCTTCAATTTGGGTAGTACTCACGCACGAGATGAATTAACTTGTAAGATCGAATTTTGTAGGGTCGAATCATCTTGGTTCTTAGAAAACTGCTCTGCGACAAATGTAAAATCTTTTGAGTAGATTATTTGGAGAAACAAAAACCATTTGCTACTTGTGATGCTATGAATCTTTCTCAGTGGTGTCACTTGAGGTGCAAACATTTCACAGCTTTTTGTGTTTCCTAGCATTAGAGAATCTTTCAGCACCTTAATATTGCTATGGAACTAGTTAGGATCCTTGTAAGTGTTTTTG